CCTCATCCTTAATGAGGGAGACAACAGGCTGGTCAAAGATACTCTCCTCAATCTCAGATGGTCAGACTGTCACTAGTGACCTACTGCTCTAGCTGTATACTAGGTTCAGTGATAGGGCTTGAAGAGGCTGAGGTTGTCATAGCAATGTATGTTGCTCTGGATTAGCTTCTGATTTTGTTGTTATACCTGTTTCCTCCTGCTGATCATGCAACCTCCACTCTCTCACTATAGATGCAGAAGTTTTCATAGAATCACTCATTGAGAAACTAATGAGCAACTCTGCTTCCAAGGAAGCCTTAGAGAGCATGAGCAGAGACATAGGCATTAACAGATACTTGAAGCTCATAGTGTCTGAGAACAGACTTGTCATCCTCGAGATCAGTGTCTGCACTAAGAGTGTATTGGAGAGGAGAATAAGTGAGATCCTTGAGGCTGGCAGAATGGAAATCAGCTTGTCTGGAAGATGAGATTCCATTGTCTCTCATATTTCTGGCTTTGTCAGCAGTGAGGACTTCAGGAGGTCCACCTGCCTATGAGTCTTACTTGTTGCTAGTATTAGGTTCCTGGAATATGAGTGAAGAGAGCAAAAGCTCTGAATGGAGCCCATACCAGCTCAGGGATCTGCTTCTAAAGCAAGAGGCCTCTGCCTCTCACTGCTGTTGTTGTCATTGTCAGTCCCACTCAGTCTTTTTAGCCTCTTGCTGGGCCTCTGCCCTGAGACAGCTTTTGAGGCTGGAGGGACTAACAGTTCAGACCTGCTGTTCCTCTTGTAATACTGCTGCACTATAGTTGAATGGGATATTGAGATTCCATGTGGAAAAATATTAGTGAATGAGCTTGTCCTGCACTTCTCATCCCCTTCATTCATCATCTGCTTGCTGATTGGGTGACCTCTCCATCCCACTGCTGATCCTGATAGAGAGAGTCTCTGTATGGCTTTGGGCAGGGGTGTCATAGAGTAAAGAAAGGTCATGGGAGTCACTCCAGGGTCTCTGAGCCATTCCAGTGGCATCAAGAGAGTCTCAGATATGGTCAGCAATCCCATGGATTTATAGAGCAGTAAAAGGGTTGGAGGATGGAGACTGCTCAAAGAAGTCTGAGAGGAGATCCTCATCCTTGTAGTTAGGGATAGAGGGCAGGACCCATGGGTTCTGGAACCCTATGAGGCAAGGGTTGCAGTTTCTGCTTGTTTGTCAAAGGGGATATTCATGTCTTTCTTCTTGAACATTCTCTTAATGTGGGCTGCTAGACCCTGCCTTGGATACAGTTTATTTCTGAGGCTGGTGGAATGTTTGTCAGGATTCAGAGATGTCATAGAGAGGGAGGTTGAGAGTTATATTTTGTAGAATGCAACAGATGTTTTAAAACTCTTGATAGTGTCTTATAGCCCAGGCAGTAACTGATTGGCATCTCTAGTATAGCTGGATGATCATCAATAAGCCTAATAATGTTCTGATGATAGAAGTGAGAAGTTCAAAAAACTCATGAGTAAAGTTAGAGTTTGATAGGTTGATGTTGATAAAGAGCATTTGGTTTCCTTCACACAGATTATGCATAAGGAAAGAGAAGTAGAAGCTTTGAGCTAATTGTTAGACTCAAGCTGCACATGATCCAAACACATGATAAACTGATGTCACTTCACACTTTGAGTGGAACATCAGAGTTCACTTATTGTGTATATAGATTGAGATGCATTAAAGCCTTGAGATTTGGCTTGAGAATAGAGTAGTATGAAGATAAACTTGAGCTTGAAGCTGGAGGTTATCAGTGAGAGTGAGCTGTCTTAAATACTTGTACAGGTCATGTCTAATTATACTACTTTCTATTGTATGTTGTCAAGTCCTTTGTGCCCATTATCCTGGAGCATCACTATTATACACAAAAGGTTTATTGTACATCATCAGGCAATGCTGTTGTGTCAAAAGACAATGACTGACTTGGCTGTTGTGATGACTAAGCCTTGTCCCACAGTCCTAAGTGCTGGTCTAGGCACTCTGACTAAGCAAGATAGAGATTATTTTATAGAAAAAAAAAAGTAAAATGGGAAAAATCATAACACTGACCTTAAATATGCTAATATCATTACAAGAAGACATGCTAGAAATAAAAAGAGTACAATCAAAATATGATCAGCAATTCTGGTCACATTGATCAAGGATGCACAGCCATTGATATACTGATGGGACATGCCTTAGAACAGAAAACTGAGATCCAAAAAAAGATATCTGAATAACTGGGTGTTGAACAGAGAAATAGAATGATGACAACAAAGCAATAAATAGAGAAATACTACCAAAAGGTGAATAGTGCATATAGCACTCAGAGACTTGTGCATGTACTTATAGTACCTTAGTGCACATAACACTGTGAGAGACTTTGCATCATACTGAGGTATGACACATAACCATTGGGTGGATTAATTAATGCATGCCAGACCAGAAGTGGTACATATTATGAGTCAAATAGAATGTCTGAACACTGGAAAAGAGAACATAGTCATTGTGGCTGACTCCAGACAGGAGAGATAACCCCAGAGGCCTGGAACAGTTCTCTGGTGTCAGAATGCTTCACTGGAGAAATAAGAAAGTGAGCAGATCTAGCTAGGCTAGCTAACCAATGTCAGCTAGACAGGGAACAGTGGGCACAGTTCTGATCCAGAACAGAATAAGTGTGGCAACTGTGACATGCACATGAATGATATGCCAGAGACTCCAGAATGGAGTCCCACACTTTGAAACTACTATATTTGGTGTGTCTTAGTAAGTACAGTAGTAGACTATTTAAGTACTACATTGTAAGAGTAGTAGATAAGTTTTCAACCCTTCACAGTTGCAGTGTATTGGGCACAAAAAGCCTTGCACCCTAGCTCTGGATTTGTGTTTGTAACTTCAGGCAAGAAAATAAACTTATTATTGATATCATTAAGGGAGATTTGAGAACTGAGTGAGGCACAGAAGCTCACAAGGAACTTGAGTTCAAATTGATAAGAGGTTTTGGATTGCACCCTAACCTGAGAATAAGAGAGCAGTGTCTGAAGGGCATCATCTTGAGTTTTTGAGGTATTTGTGATGTATGGCACTACAGATGGCAGAGGTTCAAATCCTTTAGCCTGTGGACAGGGTTATTTGTGATATTTCCACAGATCAGCAGGGGTTCAAACCCTTTGGGTCTGCTGGATGGCATTTTATTGTGTTTTGTGTCTCTGGATTGCATAGGTTTGAATCCTGTGAGTCTATGATCAGTTTTGAAACTTGTGTACAGAGATCTGAGCTCCTTAGCACTTGTAGGTGTGTTTGTGATTGGTTTCTGCCTAAAGCACGAAGCTTTGAGTCATGTATTGTGTGTGTTAGGGATTTTGATTTGATCTGAGCTGTGCTTGAGACCTTTTGAGAGCTTGTGGGATTGTTTTGACATATTGTATTGAGCTACAGTACCTTTGCCTTGAGGCCCAGCAACACCTGTTGCCACCTCTTGTTTTGATAAAATGAAAAGCTTTGAGACTTAGAGAGACCTAGGACTGTTGTATGTGTGCTATTGCTGTTTGCATGCAGTGGATTCATTGAAGAAGACAATTATATTTGCTGTTACTACTTTTATCACATTATAACCCCCCCAAGAACTAAGAGTACTGTGAGTGTGGATGTGAGTGTGGGTCTGATCAGTGGATAGGATTCCACTGTATCCATTTTCATCTTGTGCACATGCATGACCTCATCAATGTTCAGCATAGAGATGGTATATGATGGTCTTCATTTTTCAGGTCCAGTGGCCATCCCAGAAATCATAGCCATCCTCATTTCTTAGGTCTGCATCTTCATAGGCTACAAAAATTGAGGACATGGAACTGCACCAGTGATATCTCAATGAAAGAGACTGAAGACTTGTTCATAGATTTCATCATCCTTTATGACCTCACAAGCCAAGATCAGAGACCCTCGAATGGCTGAGAATACCAGGAATTCTCTTCACATCCAAGCTATATAGTTGAGAATGTAGTAACTGTCACTATACACCATCTTCTTTTCAGAGTTTATGAGGACCAGCCTGGTTGTGCAGTCAAATTCGTCGCCCCTGTTGTAGGACCGCATCATATCACACAATGCATGAGAAACAGACATTCGATGAACAGTTCGTCTTCAGTCGAAGAACAAAGATTCAAACACCTGGGGAAGAACTCTATATCTGCGTTTTCTTCAGCCATGGAAAGCTATATATCGGGAAGCCATTCAGCAACCTCCGTCATGATGCTGTCCATCAGTGGGCCTTGCTCAAAACACCTATCGTCTGGATTGTATCTCTCACATGTAACAAGCTCCTTTGATGACGACGTCGATAAAGAAGCGTGGCACAACTCATATTTGAGGTCTCTAAATGCGCTCTCGCTTCCTCGCTTCCTGGAAGGATATCCGGAAAGGAAACAGCAATTTTACAGACATTTTGAAGAGCCTCGCGATTGTCAGGAGTCACTTCGAGTGGGTTGGCTGTAGCCAACGCATCAGTAAGGAGGGTGCGGAGTTACTGTACCGGTGAAAATTTGATTTTTGCATTTGATGTCGAAACGACGCGTCCTTTCGTGCTGGACGCACTGCTGGAGCTGACGTAGTGCGGTTACGGAATGCACCTTTCACGCTACGTGTTTTTCGTGGTGAGAAAGACAGGGTGATGAAGCGTGACTTCTGGGCCTGGAAAAAATGCCTTTATGCTCCCGATGCCAGTCATGTTCCCCTTTAATACCAAGAAAGGTTCCGACCAGAATTTTCCACTTGGAAGTTGAATGTGAACATAGGTCCACAATACGGCCCGAATGCTCAATGACGGCAAACACCGAATTTATCTTACCGACGACCAGTGATGTTAATCGACAGCATGGAAAATCAGCATCGACGAAAAAAGAAGACAATCAATCTGCGTCTGGATATTTACTGATGATCTTTGGTTTCATAGGGCGAAAGCCTCACCGAGCACTGATCTCTCGTTCTGTTTATGTATGGCCTACATAACTTGGAATTAGGCACTCATTTTCCTAAAATTTGTGTCGACATTGTTAAGACCTTTTTTTGTGGAAGACATCAAAAACAAGACGATGCTTTCCTACAGAGTGAATAGCAACATTACAAGTTGAGGGATACCGAATTCTTATCGTACACTTTCATAGCCAAGATCGTAAATCAGACTTCTAACCAAAGCAGTCTCTCCAAAATGGGTACAACCCGTCCTAATCTAACAGCGCCTGTGTCTGAGGAGAACGCGTCTTGATTGTGCATTTGAAAGGCACGGGAAAGCTACACATAGAATTAAAAGTCACCCCACATCCAACACAGAAGCCTTACCTCAAAAAAGCGCTCGTAAACGTTTCGCTTGGTTCAACAATCCGACCTTCAGAATCCACGGCCTTCGTGAATGACAAAGTCGACACCATAGACGCGATGGCAATCCAGGCAGTGTTCAAAGCGATATAACGGCCAGGACAGATGCTGGAAGAATACCGTCAAGAGTGGTCGACATAGATACATCACACAACGCTTACCGTCTTCCAAAACCAAACGCCACTGTGGGTTCAGGTTCGCGTTCCTTCCCGTCTCGAGGCATGAACCGGTCGGGGTCGAACACTAGAGGGTTGGGATAATCCTTTTCGTCGTGAAGCATGGCCCTACATCGTCTGTGAATCCGAGGCTGGGAGATCATACATTGACTGGTGACTAACCAAGCGTTTCCAATGATCGTCGCGCCTACAAAGGGCACATAATCATAAACCGAGAAGAAAAAACATATTTGGAACGTACCTGCAGGTATGTAGTAACCTCTGTAAACATCCTCTTTCACGGTACGGTGAGCAATGCCTACATGAAATTTATCAAGTCAAGTGTGCTCATAGATCTGAATGCACATACCCAGTGGAACAACGGAGTTCCATCTCATAGCTTCCAACACGATAGCATCAATATAAGGCAGTTGTGGACGGTCATCAAAATTCGGCAAGCGGTTGCCATAACCAACCACGGCGTCCAACTCAGCTTGAGCTTTGGCTTGTACCTCGGGATAAAGAAGAAATGCAAGCATCGCGGAAAGGACGACTATCACGGTCTTTGGACGGTTCGGAGACTCTGAACAATACACAAGGGTTCAAACCTACCGTGTCAGCTCCCGCTAATTAAAACATGAGATCAGATCTTCAGTGAGCGCCGAGAAACACTTACCAGCAAAGGCAACTCCAGCCGTATTCCGTATGATTTCAAGGTGCGTTGGGGTGTCTGCAACCTCGGTCTTTTGCATCTTTGTTAGATTTTCAGAGACGAATGAAGGGGGTGCAAGGCCCTTCGCCTGGAGCAAGAGTCAACTAGACCGATATCAACGAAAGAGTAAGTGAAGGCATACCATGGACTCTCTTGTGTATTCAAATGGTTCTTCTGACATGTCATCGACGTCTTTTCTCCAGGCTTGCGCTAGCCTAATAAATTCTGCACCAGGCAACCAACCTTCACAGTGCCTACATTACCAGCCTGAGCAGAAAATAAAGAAAACTCACGTGGAAGATATTTCAAAATAGGGAAGTAGTCAACCAAAAAAGCCCCGACGTTCCCAACGATGCGAACACTTTCCAACGCCCGATCCACCAACTCCACAAATCGATCACCGTTCGGATCCACATCATATCCGTAGACGATTTTCATGATGGTGGAGCCTGCATGGCTAGAAGGCCGTCAGTTTCCCAGAACAGGCTATCGGGTACACCCAGCTCACTGGCGAACATGGTGAACAAAAGCGTCGGGAGATTTATGCAGCTGTTGTAGCAAAACCAACGTCGCTTTCATCTGCACAGGATAGTACGCCGGAAGTGCACGAGGCTGGAAGTGCTGGTGAAACATTCGACGATGCATTCTATAAAGAGAAGGATGGAAACCAGAACAGGAACAACATACATGGTTGTACTGACCTCCACCAATCAGAATACCTTACAAAAGCCATGTTAAATCCCCATCCCGTTAACTTTAACATCGTGAAATCTGTATGGGGTTATTCCGAACTCTAAGACCGGGGGAGGGGGAATTATGCATACTCACCTGGCCTATCGGAATAATTCCCGGATCGTTTTTCGAAGAGATCAATTGCTGCTTTGGCAGAGTTGATTACAACTGTCGGATTTCCGGGTATGTCCAGATACAAGATGTCGCCATAGGTGGTAGCCCATCGAGCAAAGGTGCGCCATGGGTAGTCTTCGGCGCGGGGCACATCCCAGAGGTTCCCTATGAGCGGGAGTCCCTTAGGTCCAGGAGGGAGAGGTGGACGTTGACGATTAAATGAGACAGACAGTCGATATAATAGTAAGGCACCGAATGACAGAAATGCCAGGAGGAGGGTCGAGTTCATCATGAAAGGGTCCCTGTGGGTGATATCTCCACGCTTCCGATTCCTTAAGTACTTATCTCATCTTGCTCCCGATTTATTCTATCAATAGATTTAAAAAGAGCAGATGATAGGTCCACCTGACAGTGAACGTGTGGTCATGGAGTACCAGTCGCATAACTCAGTCTAATGGACATCCCAGTTCCTCTTGGTACCGTGGCGTCAATGTCGGAATCAGGTATGAGCAATCACGGAAAGAACTGGGTACGATACTGGCGGTAAACATCGGTTTGGTGACCTAGCTTTAGAGGGAAACAAGGAATGACAGCCATACAATTGGTCTGCCTACCTTACTCGAACCTCTATGAGCATTGAAAGCGGAACACGCACATCAAAGATCAAGTGACGAACATAGTTGAATTGGGTGGAGATTCTATTGGCGCGCGGCCATGATCAGGGGCGTTGAGAGGGAAAAGACATCGTGGGACAATCGAAGGGAGCGAAGCAGTTGTTATGACGTCATTCTCGACTCGTGCACATTATCGTCCATTGCGGCATGAATACAAAGGGAGGGGTCCGTGAAGACCTTTGCCCAACTGAAAATAGACAGGCACTGTTCTCATGTTATCCAACCAATCTATAAGCTCTGAAGTATGCTACAGCCTGCCATATGAGACAATGAAATTGTTGAGCATGTCTTCGCCTGCGGATAGAGAATTTGGGACGCGACGATGAATCAGCAGCACAGGAGGCATTGGTGTGGACAACTGACTCTCTATTCTTGCCACATAACAATCCTTTGTCCTCATGGATGTTAGGAAGAGCGAGGAGTTTCATGCGTGCGAGCTAGCGTGAAAGAAAGGTCAGACTAACAAAAACCTCTCGGCGAGGTCGTCTATCTTCGATGACGTCGGTTACTTCCCATTCTATGTATTCCTTGATAGGGACGCTTCATCATTCTCTCATTCATAGTTATCCAGAATCGCCCACAAGGTACCTGACGTTTAGTCCCGACATGGACTGATGCGCTCAGCGAAACCACCCAACTTGCGCGTCGACGTGGAGGAATGGCTACATGTTGACGGGTGCTAGAGAGGATTGGAGGATGATTCATAATGATATCATTCACAAGCACACGAAGATAAGGATGAGGCAATCCCATCTAGATCAAGACAGCGAACATCTCCAAGCCGCAGACTCTGAGGATATACTCCTGATAGTTCCATAGTTCGACTCGGAAACTGCAACAACTTTCGCTTTCCTAGTGCTTCCGACTCTTGTTATAATCTTGATATAGCCCGAGTCAGTGTGCATCCACTTCGACGGTCTCTTCGGTAGAGTCGAAATTAGATTTTTTGTTAAAACACGTGACGAGGTACGCGTCAGCCGGTCCGGACATTGATTGACCTTTTCTCAGTCTTTCGTCTCTAAACCGTCTTTGTTAATACGAAGGCTCTTTTAATATCACTGTCTTCGTTTTACGAAGATCATATCTGCCTTCCAGTGAGCCCAGTCTCATACATGATTTTTTTCCGGGCGATGAAAGGCCTTCATGACTTACTCCTCAAGTTCGTGGTGTCCACAGCAAAAGCTTGCCTGTGGCAAGTGTTGTGTAGATCGCATAGCAGATGCTCAACTCGTGTCCAAAGGTTTTAACGACGCCAATAGTGTATCCATCTGAAGACAGTCGATATGTTTCAAAGGCAAAAAACATCGCAGGCGAGCACCATAGGGAACGATACTGTCAGCTTCGTGTGACACATGGAGACGTTTTCAATTTACTGACGATGTTTATTCTTAGCATCTACAGGGAGCGCAGCGAAACCGCGAACCGCACTTGCACGATGGAAACCGTTCGTAACGCATCTGAAGTTGGACACCATCTCGTCTCATTTTCATGACAACGACCAACGACGTGGCCTTCCTGCACTATTGCAATGGGCTAAGGCCTGAACCATACCAGGGGACAAGGCACGCTGTGGTGTGCTACGGGATTGTTGGCGACGCTTTGACCAGGTCAGGACAACATCCACATGGCCAAGACACCGTTTGCCACTGGTTGTTCCACCACAACTCTTTGGCCAGACAAGACCAGTCATAATTGGTATTTATACCGTTCCATTTTGTGGCATCCATCCCAAATTGCCATCATGCCCAAATCAAAGAAACCCCGTCCGACTTGCGCCCGCCGTATTCCCCAGAAGCACGATCTATATCCACACCTCTCCTCGACAAACGATCAGCCTCTGGACTCCGAAGTCGACGAGATCCGTTTGGTCATCGAAGACACAAAATTACGCCTCGAAGAACAACAGAAAGCCCCTCAGCTTGATGTCGCTCAAACTCGGCAAGAATCGAAGGAACTGCGAGCAATCATCAGGACTTGCATGAAGATCATACACCCGATACGCTGTCTACCATTCGAGATAATCGGCGAGATCCTCCTCCACACGCTTTCAGGACCCGACCACTGGAACAACTACCCGGAGGTCCATGACTACCACCACGGCCCTTGGGCATACAGCCGCGTATGTCGACGATGGAGAGCCGTTGCCATCTCTTTACCCCGACTCTGGTCGGAACTCCTTGTACCCTCAAACTGCGGCTCCTACTGGCTCCACGTCAAGAACCCCATTGGCCGTCTACAGCTATGGCTCCGTCGCTCCGGCTCTTGTCCTCTTCGCATCCTATACAGCGCCTCGGGTAAATGCAGGCCCAAAGAGCACGACACCATCACCTCCCTGCTCTTCGAGCAGAGTGATCGGTGGGAGGTATTCAGATGGATTGGGTGTTCAGATCCCGAGCGCTTCGAGCGGCTTAGCGAGGTGGTTGGACGGGTCCCTCTTCTTCGCCACCTAGATCTGCAATACACCATTGCAGACAATCCACAAGAACTGGAGACGGCAGCCTCGTACACAGGTTTTACGGCTCTGCAGCCTCGTTTGGTTCGATTCCATGCCGAGAGATTCCTGGTTGATCCTTTCGAACTGCTCCGTCTCGCGCCCAATCTCTGGGAAGTCGCCCTGGTGTTGAATCGCGCACACGGGGATATTCCAAGAAAATGGTTTCCCCCAAGTCGATTGACGCACTCAAGCATACGACGTCTCGTCGTCAACCACCCCTATATGATCGCATTACCCAACCTCATCCTCCCCCAGCTCAAATGCCTGGGTCTTCGTTCTTTCACCCTCGACGACATGCACCTTGTCGCTGGGCTCATCCACCAAAGTCGGTGTCCCCTTACGAATTTCTTCGTCCAAGGCCAATACCGTTTTCACTCGTCCCTTGTCCAGGTTCTGCAGGCCACTCCTGCTCTGGAGCTGCTGACGCTAGCAGGAGACGATTCCATGCCGCTGTATCAATATCAAGAGGGCATTTTGGAGCAGCTAACGATTCAGGAAGGGTTTCCAGTCCTTCTCCCCGCTCTAAAGGTCTTTTCTTGTGATGTTAAAGGCGTTGATCCTGAGGCCTTGGTTGCGATGCTGGAGTCCCGCTGCGAGGAGGGACATCTACAGAAAGTCAAGTTATGGTGCGCTCAAACTCCCGTCAAGAAATGGGTGGGTGCGCGTTTTCTGCGACGTGTCACTGATTTGAGGAAGAAGGACGTGGAAGTGGTTGTCGAGGACATTCCTTGGAGTAATTTTTCCCAGAAGATGGAGGATTTAGTAGAGTCGTAGGATATTGATGGTAGCACGAAGGACAAGTAACCTAAAAATATGTGCATGCCGCAACAATATGATTTTGATAGTATGGCTTTGTCAGTAACCTTCTGCCTGGCGAATAAAGTAAGAGTTAGAGATGACGTCAAACTCGTAAAATTTGACAGACCTTTGAGGTGTCTTTTATCAGTGCGCAGTAAACCCATATGAAGGGACTATGAGACATAAGAAGAGCGTCCTTCGCTGTATGACAAGATCTGCTTCAAGGCCCGATCGAAGCGAACCTCAAGATCTGTCAATTATAGTATTGCGTGCGACAGGATACGGCAGGGACAGTCAGAGCTTGATCCCAAGCACAGTTACATTGATTTGGGTTTGCTGACATCAGATATGGGAGAGCTGTTCGTCGGTGCCATCTGGAAGTATTGCGAAATGCTTCAACAAAACTAGGATGCCTATGCAATGATCAGGACGACGGCAAATTTTAAGGTGCACATACGCACCTGCTTTGGTAGATCCCAAGTTACGATACCGTTCTTCTGGCCTTGCGGCGAGACATGTTCGAAGTCCAGCATCCGCAGCGACATCGAAAAGACAAGTCGCCATGGCACACCCCACTTCAGGCCCCAGTATATGGATTGACCTCACGAGATACTACCTGTGAGATGGTAAGGACCACAGAGTAAAGCCAAGGAAGAAAAGAAGACATGTCTGCAGCATCACGACTCAAAAATGCTGCAAACTGTGATAGTATCTCCTCGTTTCCAACATACCTATGGATACCTAAAACTACAGAAAAAAAGACAGACGCGGCCTTCCGTAATATGCTTCTTGCAACGATGACGACTAGTGCGAAAAAAGCAGCGATTGCTGCTGCATTCGAGAACCGACATTTCTTCGTTGGAATTTTCGGGTGGCGTTTTGAGTGGAATTAGGAATTCCTGGTTAGGGTTGCCGCACGCTGGATCCATCTGGATTACATTCATCGTAGCTGCCTCACATCGTTCAAGAGAGGGAAGACCACTAACGGCGTGTATAGTAAACTGTAAGCGTAAGGGTGATACGGTGAAGCCTGCCCTAAATAGCACGTGACTACCTTTCGTACCCGCCAGATCTTCCACCGTTACTCCTATCACCCTACCCTTTCGGTACATAATGGCTGACGCCGAACATGAAGTTTTACTCTGCTTAGAATCCAAGAGGAATATCTGAAGCTAGAAAAAGACTATCATCGTATGCTTCAAGACGTTTATCAAGTCAATCGCAACAGGAAACATCCCTGCCATTATGCATTCCTCTATCACCAATGCCCTCGACAAAATCCAATCTATCCCCTTTCTCTCATTTCCTTTGACATCATCGGGGATTAACTGCTCTCTCAGATATAAAGATAAACTTCAAGACGGTCTCACATTGACACACTCGTTGCACCTGATGTCGATGCTATGCTCGACGCATCGCAGCGACCATCCTATGACCAAGGTATGGGCTCTGTTTTTAGCCGTCTCAGAATTATAACTGAACACTTCAACCAGACGACCAGACGGGTATTGACGCAAATTACCACAATGGCTGCGAATTTACCGCCCACAAGATTGAAGGTAGGAGCTTGTGGATGGACGACTTCCGCAACGCCCATCACCGGCGCTCTCGATAAAATACAGACCTATCCTTTCGTTTCGTTCACTCTGGAGCGAGACAAATTGCTATCTCGAAAACCGAGTTTCTGGATGGGATGAGGCTCCTACTGTCAAATTTGGTACGCTCACTGCATCTGATGTAGGAGCTATCCCTGACCCATCACAACCTTCATCCTTCGGGAAAGGTATACCACCTTCGTCCGCCTTTCTCATTGGCACTCTTTGCTCACCATTGCATCATCTTCCCCTAGGTGGTCAAACTATCTATGACACGAATTATTACAGAGATCGCAAAATAACCTTGGAGAACTTGGAAGTTTACGCTAAAGATCGTGAGCAGAGCCTTATGAACAGGATTAAACGGTCCCTTCTTTCCACATTGTTCGTCGGTAAAAGCATAGAACTTGCCTTGTACAAGTTGGCACTGTACAATAAAGGAGGAAATTTTGATTGGCATCGTGAAATTCGTTTCTGAGTTCCATTTGTCCGGATGCACAGACTAGCTACAGATCAATAAGGTGAATTATACGGTAATACGGATTACGCTGGAAATGATGCTCAAAGTGGCAGCACTCAATATTTCGGAGGTGGGAAGTTTGTATTGAACGACTTATCTTCATACGGATCGTGGTTTACGAGACTAGGAATAATGTTTCGGAGCAGCTGTAATTTTGCACTACCTAGTGCTGTTGATGGTTCCGGGCCGGTTTGCCGACATCGCTTCTGACTTAACGTTCTGGTGAATATGCAGACTATCACATTTGACGCGTCAAAGCCTCGAACACCTTGCACTCCTCGAGGATCCGAGTCTCCAAGTCCCATCTTGGGCGTTGGAGACAATATCGGCTCCGGAGACACTTGTATCGTTGAGAATTTGCTTGCAGATGACTTGGCTGGCACCGCTTTCGAGAGTTTGAAGCGCGAAGTGCATTGGCATACGATGTTTCATAGAGGTTAGCTGTTGTAGAATTTGACGTGACATTGAGACGCTAAGGAAGGTCATTGGCAGGAGGTGAAGTTCCGCGACTTGTCGCTGTGGAAGGAATTCTCGAAGAAGACGGGAGGTTTGTTAGAAAATGTTCCTGTCTGGCCCTTTTTGACTGACTGTTGTTTCACCAGCTTCCCACTCTACCGCCACCCCGCTGACGAATCTCTTCCTCTCCGTCCATTCACGCCTACCGTTTCCCTCATTGCCCAAGCTGTTTCAAAGGTAGTAAACCACCCCGTTAACCACGCTCTGATACAGCACTATCGTAGCGGGAACGATTATATCTCCGAGCATTCTGATAAAACTATCGATGTCGTCCGAGGTTCCAGCATCGTGAACGTCAGCATCGGCGCCCAGCGCGTGATGTTTCTGCGCAGGAAAAAAGATCTCTCTCCTACGAAATGTGCTCAGCGTATCCCACTACCACATAATTCTATGTTTGTTATGGGACTTAACACGAATCGCGAGTGGCTGCATGGTATTCATCGAGACAACCGTCCGGTGAAGACTAAGAGCGATGTCGAGACTGCTTTTGGAGGCGAGAGAATTAGCTTGACGTTTAGGCATATTGGCACTTATTTGACGAACGATTCGAGCTTGATTTATGGGCAAGGGGCTGTCGGAAAGACGAGAAATGAGGCGAAACCAGTAGTCAATGGGGTACCCGAGGAGTCTCAAAAGTTGATTGATGCGTTTGGGAAGGAAAATCACGAGAGCCTATTCGATTGGGATGAGGCTTATGGGCAGGGATTTGATGTCGTGAATTATACAGTGTGATATCCACAGGAGTTCTTCCCGTGTAACTAATAGATGTACGTCTAATATCTTGTTTCAACACCTTTCCAAGCTTGCTCCCCGCCATTATCTATCATCCACCTCGCAGTATCGATTAGTGTCTCTTCCGGCGATCTGAACTTCATGCCAAGTGCTCTTTCAGTCTCACTGCTATCGATGGTGAACACTGGCGTGTTGACAAGATCCACTGGCACAGAAGGCAATAAGTGTGCGCGTCCAGGAAACTCCTTGGCAAAAATTGATACGAAGTCCGACGGAAAAATAGAAACGTTAGAGCAGCCCTACTACATTTAAATTGATTGTAAGACTCCTGATGTGCAGCGCTTACCAGAACAAATCGACGTCCGTTGGCTTCATCTTTTTCGACGACGCGCACGAAAGTCGTGCACAGGTCTCGAATGTCGACCAAGACCTAGTAGAAGAAGCCATGTGAGAACATCAGGAAGGGCAGGTGCAAAGCTCACAGGGCCTCCAGATGTAGTTTGGAAATTCCAGTCGGCGCGAAAAAGCGGCCCGGCTAGCCCTACTTCGTTTTTAGTCGACCAGTCAGACGCAGAGTAAAAGTTGTACATTGGTTAGAGCCGTTGTTAATACCGAAAGGATCATGGCCGTGGGTCGGACCGTAGACGAAGCAAGGTAGCATATTGACAAGCGCAAAATGAGGTTTGGTCTCCTTCATGAACTTCCACGCAGCTTCATCTGCCAGCTTCTTCGATGTAGCTACCGATATCTCGGAGTCAATACAGTGAGGAACTACGTCGTTCAAAAAGACGTACTGTAGGCTAACAAAGGATGGGGTGCATTCTTCCCACTGAAATGGTTTAAATTCATTCGTTCAGGAAAGATCAAGCCGTTCCACTGACTATTCGTAGTCGCGAGGATTCCACGACTCGCCAGTTATGTGTTCGGTATGATTGTGTACGGAAAAGTCCGCAGCAGCAGCAATAGAACTATATGAAAATCCGCTCAGAGGCTTGAGATGACGAACATGGCAAGCTTTGTCCCCTCACCTTACGGTGACAACCTTCTTACACTTTGGGGACTTTGCTGCCGAGCGAAGGGCGCTGACTGTGCCGTTTATATTCGGGATAAGGATACTTTTCTCATAATCCTATACTCCGTTAAATATTATTATCGGTATCATGATGGAAGGTGCAACTGCGCACCTGAGAAACGCCAGATCGCCAATCAGGGAGTTGGGCGATGGTATGTATAAAATAATCTATACCCTCGAGGGCCTGGTCAAAGGCTCCTTCTGCGACGATATCGCCTACTAGCACACACCCCAACTTTCCTGACGCTGCATACGGTACAAAGGACGGTAGTGCCAACCAAGCGTCTGCCTTGGCCTGCGTGCGTACAGTACCACGAACGTGGTATCCGGCTTCCAGAAATGCCAACGCTACTTCTGTAGCAATAAATCCATTAACGCCAGATATCAGGATGGATAAATGCATATCAGGTATGAAATCAAGGATGTTGTTGATATCATCTTGGCGTATACCCTGGTTAATGCCGGTGGGTCAGGAAGAGGCCGGCAATCCTGACGGGAGCAACTAATTCACATGCATGGATGAAATGTGGGTTCCTGTTTACGTTCCTGACAGTCATTGGTTGACTATCAGTCTTGGACAGATCAACATATGCCACTAGTATGTAATAGGCATGAGAGATACGTGGTACAGAAAGTGCACATTTACTCAGGACCTATCATCACAGTCGAGGTTCCACAGGCAAGTCGGTGCTAATAATGACGTCTTTCCACGACTCCAATACTTGCAATCGCTCGGTAAGATCCTGCTTGACAGCGTCGTAACAATCGGGGCCGATCTGTAAGCTTCGGGGAATCACTTTGCCTGAGGCAACGCCTTGACCTTTAACCACATCCACGATGATTTCAACGAGCATGCGGGTGTCACCACGTTGGTTTCCATCAAGGGCTGCGTTCAATCATGAATAACGTTGGGAACTCGCTGAAGAGAAATAATCGCACATGTACAGATATCATTTATAGCACCAATCATCGGCCTGTAGTCTTCAATTCGGTCCACGTATGGTGAACGATTGTTGGGGTCGACGATTTTCGTTTGAAAATATCCAGGCTCTATGTTGATGCTGCGGATTCCGAGAGGACTGACTTCCATGTCCATAGATTCTGATATGCCTGGATAATCAACATCAACTTGAATGGCTTGGTAGCAAGCAAATATTCATAGTACGGACCTCTGACAGCATGCTTTACTCCTACGTACATGCTTAAAGCCGCAGATCCCCTTTTCTGGCATCAGAAACAGGTACAAAAGACTCGAGAGAAACTACTCACTGCCAACCACATAGCGAACCAATCCAGACTATCATGCCGGATTTCCGCTCACGCATGTACGGAAGAAAAGCACGAGCAACGTTCAGTGCGCCAAAGAGGTGGACACTGCGGTCAAGCCAATAAGATGTTAAATTAAACAATAACTAAGAGCGAATACTTGAATTGATCGTAAGTTTCTTCTGGTCTAGAAAATAATCAGCTTATGGATAACGAGGTTTAGACCGCGAAACACACGTGAGTTCCTCAGCAGCACCGCAGGTAAGATAAGAACCTAGACCCGACGGAATCAAGATAACCTGTGCAATATGCTGAACGACCTACCGGCATTGTTGACAAGAACGTCAATACGGCCATGCATCTCTATAGCTTTTCTAGCACACTCTGCCAGATCTACGGGTGATGCAGTTACATCAAGCTCTAGAGTATTAGCGCCTGCTTTTCGAAGGTCGTCCAGTTTATCAAATGACCGCCTGCGACCAGTCGCAATGACCTTGTCACCTCGCCGGAGGGCAGCAAACGCGAGTTCACGACCGATTCCAGACCTAATTCCAAGCCGATTAGCAAAATTTGTAGTAATGAGTACACAAGCGTGGCCCACGATGTTCCGGTAATAATCCAGACGAGGGAAGCCACCATGATGAAAAGCGAAGCAGCGGCCAACTTCCTTCAACGTCACAAAAAAATTGCCTGTTTGATGCGAGGGCTGCACATGACACCCACCGAAATAACCTACAACCACAATATCGGATAATGGAAAGCAGCGCGTCGACCACCCGATCCTTACATAAGTGCCTGCCAAGTCCGGTCCCCGCCGGTCGAATTAGTAACGGGAACAAGTTCAATTCTATGAACTTCATCAATAATACTTGCTCAAAAGCAGAATAGCCTCAAACGCGAGTCGGATTTCCTTATCCCTTTGTTATAATTGGGCTGTATAAGCCAAACTTTATTATTTTGGCCGTTGCTACGGAGCCAACAACTTTCATCAAATTGTCGCAGCGTTCTGCAGGGAGACTCAGATATCCGAGGTAGTTCTCTGATCTAGAGGGCTTCGGCAAATCTTAGGACCTCAGGTAACTAGCTGATGAACAACATCGGTGAGGACTTGTGATTACAATAAATTCTCTTCGTCCATGGAACTACGAACTCAGATAAAATAAACTGTGCAGTTGCGGCAACTGACACATTCCACTGGCACCCTCTAAAAAAAATTGTGTTAGTTGCTTCGGATATCGTGTGGGCCATTGAATTGACGTGCATACTCCAGGAACTTGCTAGGAACCAGGAATCTCGACGCCTGACAAGTCGCGCCTACCACCGGCAGTATTACTAGTGATAGACCGCTCCCGGGCTCCCTTAGCACTAAAACAGTCTTGTGATCTAAAAGCTCGGGCAGTCGATGACCATCAAGGCAGCGTCTCCGAGTCCTCAATCCCAGCCTCTTCCGGCGAATAACAAGACAGTAATATGATTCTAGAGTATACATGAAACAAACAAGTGCCGGTATCATCCGCAGTACTGCCGTGATCCGCGTTGGGCTAGCGCGTATGGAGTCGCCCATCAGTATAAATTATTACGTGACCCCCATAGCCTTCGCATTCACTTCGTCCGACAAACGACGAACCTGATCTAATTTCGTTTCTGGGAACGATTCCAGATTGCTTTATAACTTCGCCCGTCTCGTCTTAAAGCCCCTGCTCGGAGCTTCGACATGGGCCAGTATGATCAATCCCTAGGGTTAGGCCTTTTTCCAGCTAATTCAACAATTTCATCTCAACATTTCTTGTCTAGAGCTTTATTAATTGGATCATGGTTCAATGCCATGCTCTACATGCTCGAGTTATGGCATGTCAGTTCTACGACGATGAGCTGTAATGTCGCTGCCTTACTCTTTTTTTCCAGGGATACGTATTCTTTTCCACTTTCCGTGGTGACACCATCATCGTCAAGTGCATGGTCTGTATCAGTCTCCTGGTTGATACACTCGGTACAGCCAACGACTGTGCTTGTATATATCTGGTATGTTAGCGCTGGTCACTGCCGACTTCTTCTGATAGGTAAAAGTACACAATCACACACTGGGGTAGGCATATGTCCCGGTCATATTCCGAATCTCTTAAGTAATTTGTTTCAGGTGACAAGGACTACATCCTAGCACAGAACTGGGCCGTTCCTACCTATGTCATATTATCAGGAATATCCGCCTGTAATGTGCAGCTGTTCCTCAGCTACAGATTTTGGACCTTGTTCGTATTTACTAAGTATCAGAACGTCTCCAACTGACTTGGCTCTACAGAGCAAAGAATTTACTTGTAACCGTTGTGCTCATTACGTTTAGCTTTGCGTCGCTCGGTAGAAATTCCTTTGAAATTCATCCTCTAGGTTAACCCTAGCGATAGGTGGTGCTATAGCGAACGGGATCACGGTTGTACGCCATAGTGACTATGCGCAACGCAACTTCAACATCAAGACGGTCACGTACGCATTATCTTATATCCGTGTTTCTCTTAGAAGCTGTACTAAACATTTCCGTTTAGAATATGGCTTGGTATGCGAAATTACTACTCTAGAGCCCCGCCTAATCGCAGTTATAGTGGCCAGTGCCGTCGCCGACGTTTCAATAGCATCTTCTCTCATCTTCCAGCTCCAATCAACTAAACCGGTCTTCAAAGAAACCAAGGCGTATGCCATCTGTTTCTTGTGCTTCCTTGCCGTAGCTCACATACCACGTTCTTGTCAGTTTGATTCGTCGTCTAACGGTTATGGCAATACAGACAGGGTCTGTTACAACAGTGCTGTGAGTCTAGCATTCTCAGCCCCCATTCACTACTCTTATATCCTGGCGGTTGCAGTGCTACTCTGTGTCGTGAGTCAGTCATGATCTGTCAACATTTTCCACCTCGCTAAACGGAAATCTTGTCAACACTCGCTCCAACAGTAATTCTTTACCTTGTAAACACCGAGAGTAACGGTATGTGTATCATGTCGCCTTGGTACTCTCAACTTACCGCCCGTTGCAGTCACTGTCGGCTTTGGTAAACTGACCTTTTGATATTTAACATGCTTGCAAAGCTGAAGATAAATAGGATTCTGTTTGGGACGCGTGTACGCTCTGACCATGTTGTTCAACCTAAATACTAGGGTAAAAGGTCGCCGGCATACAGAAGAGACCATCTATCCCCAGGATAGCGGCAGCGTAGGATTTAGACTAAGAAGTATGAACAGTTCGGATCTCGGAGGGATAAGTGCGTGGGTTCTCTGGATTGCTTCATTCCAGGCTCATCTTCTTCCAAAGGCGTACATCGAACGGCTATCGTGCGTATAGATGGGTCAGAAGAGTATGGAGTAAGCAGTTTCTTTTAATATTATGAGTAGTGAATTGAACGGCCTTTAATTTGTTGTAGACAGAGAGCAGGAATGTTCCTGACGTTGGGCGTAAGAAGTCGGATTCGAATGGCAAGAGTGGCGCCCCGGTGTGATGGAGACACCGTTCGCTACGCCCTTTATACGATGTTGGTTGGGGACCATGTACGTATAAGCGAAACTTCGCGTCAATGACCATCGCTGATATATCAGGATCCCGCGAGCCATCTAAGCACCATCGAGGTAAAAGGCCTTGATCCAAGTGCATATGGTATGTATGTGCCTTTCCGTGAGTTGTCCGTGAGCAAGGAATGGCTCATCATGCATCATTCTTGACCTGGACAGCAAAATAAAAATAACAATCCGGCTGACACAGGAGTATGATCCGTTTATCCCTACATCAGCTACAGTACCCTAGCCCCGCATCTCTCAACACCTTCATCCGGCAACGAATCAAGCTCGATTCCGCAAAGAGATGTGCAGTCCCAACGCCAAGGGTCAAACACCTCAAAGGCATATGCGAATACATCCTTTCTTCGATAACATCCATAACCCTTGCCTCCGTAACCGCTGCCTCACAACGCTCCCTCTTCCGGTATATTAGTTCCAAGTCTTTGAGATGCGGCGCCTCCTCCAGGATCCTCCGAACACGCGATGACGAGATCGAACAATAATCGTCTTCTTGGCCAAAGTCGCTCTCCCTCACGACTAGCTTCTCCAGCTCAGGAATCTTCCGCACGAGCTCCGCTATATCCCCCGATAGGATGGGGACACGGTCAACGATAAGGTGGCGGAGTGAATCTCCGGAATGTCGGAATAAATGATCAAAGCAGGACGGATCAAAGCGGCGGCGGGACTGCTTTCGGGGACCGGAGACAAGTGCGAGTGTCCGAAGATTAGGCAGTTCCATGCGTGACATTATGTCCGTCAGTTGGATAGGCGAGCATAACACGGATAACGTCAGGGATGTGATTCCCATGCGTCGAATGCTGCTGGGAGCGAAGCGAGTGTGCCCATAGATTGTCGTATGAGGAATGATTGTCAGATCCGTCGCATTCGGGAAGGAGGCGACGATGTCAGGTGTGGTGAAGTATAGCATCATGTCTTCTAGCACTAGGGTACGAATCTGGGACGCGGGGAAGGTGGTGGATCCGTGAGCGAAGAAGGGCGTCTTGGAAGCATGGACAGTCTGGAGTTTGGCGGCGGTGGAGAATCCTGGGAAACGATGAAGATGGAAGGAATTATCGGTCTCGTGAACTCTTAGGCTCTCGAGCATCCCCAGGTCTATTCCAGGAGCAAAGAGATGATAATATGAGCCAGTCGGAAAATAGGCTCTGACCTCCATCGTACGCCATCTGTGTGCCTGCGTACGAAGGAGGGTAATTAGAGGTTCGAACCAGATTACGAAGGCGCGCATAGTGTCCTTATTGATCGTGCCAGATCGAGAATAGAGAATTATGGATAGTGGTGATGTATTCGAGCGCTGGAGATAGAGATTAACGATGTCTCGCTGTTTTTTGAGTATTTTGCGAGGTTGGACATCGATGGGGATACCGATAGTAGACCATATATGAGGTAAGCTCAGACAGATATCTCTCCATCTTGAGCACACCATTGATATACGAAGTATGGTATGGGGATGCTCCGAAAAGCAACATTCTTCGAAGATCTGGAAGAGGAGTTCGGGGGGTAGTTTGAAAATCTGCACATCCGGAGGTTGGCCGCTGATAGGACACACGAAAGTAAATTCGTGCTTCTGTCTGGAGCGACGTTTCTTGGATTGGAAAAGGCGGCCCTTCTGAAAACCATATTAGTGGAAGACAAGTATATGGAAAGGACCAAGAGCGTACGGTAGTCCAAGAATCGACCTTGATACTTGGACAGATATTGACCAGCGTGCTTGGAACCACGGTAGTTGTGAACCGAATCCAAGTGGACGAGGACTGACTGAAAACGCTGGAGCGGCGACTATTGTTGCGCTTCGTGTCACCTTCCACGGCTTTCGCCCACCTCCGAAACACAGACCAAGGCGCCATCATTGGGAGTAAACGAGAGATATGGATGAGAAGTCTAACCTCTCAGCGCAGGCCTTTTCTTAACTCCTTGAATTCTCGTAACAATCACGGATGACTGCAGTTCTGGTTTCAAAGCTCCATGGAGATACCATTGATCGGGTATTTATGTGGCCATCTAAAACAAGAGATAAGCCAACTCAAATAGCATGATGACGGAAGTATTGCACGGACCTTCGGAGACGGGTATTTAGTCGGAAAGATGACATTGCATGCAAGGTATCACTCCTTCGACTCAATACTGAGGTTGCATAAACCGAATTCACGGCGAGAAGGATGTATTGAAAGGCCTGTAGTATTCGATTCAGTTACGCGGGGCCACTCCATTGCGGACATCATGTTAAGATATGTTCCTATTGGAGATAAATGGACTATTAAAGGAGTGAAACGCGCCGCGACATACCAAGAGTATGCTTGATACTTGGAACTTGTTGCTTCAGAAATATCAGCAGTTGAAACGTTGTCAACAAGGATAAGCGTCTGTATATTCGAGCTCCACGGGCGGTGATGTGGTTGCGAACCTTGGGCTATAAGAAATGATGGTCTGCGAGGGAAAAAAGGGAGGTCACCAAATCCAACATTCCCTCCTGCACAGATCATTGCTCGACGCAATGGAGATCCATGGTAGCGATCCAGTGACAGGTCCAAGATACCTGTCAGTGAAAACGGAGCTAGTGAGACGGCGAGGGTGGTATCCGATTCCAACGTCGTCTCGTGCTAGGACTGCAGGCCTTCACGTCAAAGACATTCCTCATTCTGGACGACATAATGGTAAGAGACTGAGGTATGATGTGTCCTGTCAAGGCTAATATCTGTCTAACCCCCCCCCTCCGGGAAATGCCGAAAGACCGGTACTACTTTTCTCTGACCCTCTGTTGCTTTCTGGCCCACTTTTTTGCACCTTTAAATTGTTCGGCTTTATAACTGTTCTCAACTGGATATCGACATATCTACACCATTACCGATGCGGGCGGTATTGCTTGTTGATTTAATTTCCGATTGTACTATGTAAGGACTCCATACTGTTGTCTTCCATACCACCGTCTTGACATACACACAACAGCCATACTACCCGTGGTGGCCCAAAAATTTTCTTGAATGGAACCCAGATTCCGAGTCTTGGTTTTGCTTACTTGGGCTTGATAGCTTCCGCCTTGGGCCACATAGTCATCGGCGCAAAGCCATCGACCAGGGCAGACGACCTTGTGCCATCACCCTACGCGACGGTATCAGAATACCGACCACTCGAGGAATCAACTACTCACAATCAACCAGTTCGGGAACCCAGGATCAAACGGCAGAACGCCCTCGAGATACTCAGCCTGCTCTTTCGACAGGGTAATCGTGAGTGCTTCGATATTCTTCTTCAGATGTTCGACTTTGCGACCACCCACAATCGGGAACACGTAGGGAGTCTTTTGCAGGTGGTACGCGATGGCAACTTCAATATTCTTTCAGATTCATTCAAGGATGGCTGAAGGCTGAACGAACCTGCTTGGATGCTCTTCGCACCAACTTCATTGGCGACTTTCTCAAGGGCAGCGGCCATCTTGATTTCAGCTTCATTGCGCTCCGGTTTGCCATCCTGTGTGAATCCTTTTCGTTCTTTTGCGATGTTTTCTTTAAATGCTTGGTCTTCTGCATTTGTACGGAGTCTGCCTGCTCCAAGAACACCCCAAGGGGCGAGAGCGAGACCTGAAAACTGCGACTTAGCGCTTGGAGTAGGGACAGAGCGCCAACATGCAAACCTAGGTCGCGAGCCATGGGGATGATCTCGCGTTCAAAAGATCGATCCGTCAGGCTCCAGTGACCTTGATAGATGCAAAACGGAGTCTTTCCGTGGTCAATGGCATATTGATTGGCTTTGGCGACGAACCACGCCGGAGTATCCTACAAGAGACGATTTTAACTAACCGCCTAGATTGACAAAGTAAAAATGGTACCGAAATACCCTATGACAGATACGTGATGAATGCTTCAAATGATACTTGCGCTGAACGGAAATCGAAACTCACGAGATGTAATACCTTGCCAGATACCACAAGATTGTGCAAGTTGGACATCAGCTCTTCAACGCTGGTCTCCCAGTCATAGAAATGGACGTATAGGATATCGATGTAGTCGGTCCGGAGGCGCTTTAACGAAGCATTAATGGCGAGGTGCCTGGCCTTACTCCCATTTCCAACATAGTGAACTTTTTGGGATATGGCATCATCGTGCTGTTTCCAGGGACCGCTATACTGCAATCATTCAATTCAAATTGCTGTTTGCCGAGCAATATTGGAAGGCACACCTTGGTTGCAATCACCATTTGGTCCCGGTTGCCTCGCAGTTCCATCCATTCGCCTATTAGCTCCTCGGAGGTGCCATCTTGACTAAAAAGCATAAAACAAATAAGCATCGCGTCTATCATCTACACGAATACCCACTAATTAACGGCCGTATCTATGAAGTTACCGCCTAATTCGTAGAAAGCATCCAAAAGCTCAAAGCTTGATTCCCTGGTCACTTCTCCCATTCCCTGGCCCCAGGCGGTACCAATGGACATTCCTCCCAGTTGAAAGGGCGAGACACGAATGCTCGCTCGCGGCGAGAGTAGCCTGTACTGGCCCAGGGGACTAGGGGCATTGGGAGGCGGAGGGAGAAAGGGAAGGCGTTCTGTAGAAGCCATGAGCGGATAGGAAGTCTATCGAGCTTATATATGCATGTGGCATCTGGCAGGGAAGATAACGTCAGAATGATGGCGACACGTCAGGGGATGACTACACGAACAGGACGTCAATGATGATTTGATAAAGAACAGAGACAGGAATTTCAATACTGAGTCGCAAATACTCATACCTAGACCAGCCGTAGCTCAAGTCATCCTTGGAAGGTTACCATCCACTTCTAGTTTACTTTCAATCCTGAGACTCTGCATCCCAATTATCTTGGGTAGGCTTGATACCACCCAACCAGGAACTGTCCTTCAGGAACCACACAACCCCATCGATATCTTGGGTCATGAGCCTCCATCTTTCTCAAATTCGTCGTCGAGATCAACCTGGGTCCGGGCCAAACGACGAATCGGTATGAAGAAACAAACGGCATGGCGAATATCTTCTCTGTATCCGATTGCAAGAAAGAACTCCAATCTGGGGTTGGGTAGAGTCTGACGCAGTATCAGGAAGCTTGAGTGGGAATCCTTGAGTACATTGTGACATACCATAATGATGATCCACCGTCCAGCTAACGCGTGTTATGCTGGCTATGCCCCAGAATTTTTGTGGACTAGTGTCAGTATCAATTGAGTCGCTCCAATCAGAAATTTATGCATATCCTGAGGGGCTTACGCAACCTTGTAGTCACTTCCCATTGGATTGATCGATCAATCAAAATTAAAGAAAAGAAAACGCCTATGACACAGAGCAAGCGAAAGGAATCACGGGAAAATTTTAGACACCTGCCCTAGGAAGTAAACCAGGGAAAGCTTTCGTGGCTGCTAAAGATCTAAGTGCCAGTGGATGAGCAGGATCAAGGTTTGGTTACCTTGGCCCGCCCTCGGTTCAAACTATTCTGACCGCATCTGCCGTAATTAATGAAATAAACGCCCCTCCTTCGTCGGACCTCGATATCCAATACTTGCTATTATTTGGTCTCGCACGTTTATGACTTCTATTTCTATAAAATGAATAAGTAGTGTATGCTAACAGAGGCATATTTTTCAATTACCTGGCTCTAAACTCAACAAGAATCACACCTGGATATTGAGAACGTGAGAAACGGTGAAAGAGCTATTTTCCGTAAACCGCAGGTTCTTAACATAACCTCGGGAGTTGGGAGTAAAAAGACTTTTATTCGTTTCTACAATGTAGAATTTACTATATCTGAGTGGTTTTGGCATGTATCAAGCGCCTTTGTCCTTTATAACAATGTGCAAGAATCTAATACTTAACGATTAATAACGTGGCAAAGAGGTGGAGAAATTTTCACTCACCATAACTCACAATCGATCAGACCAGCTGAGATGGGGAAAAGGGAATAAAGGAACGTGAAAATAGCCATGAACGGTCTAAAATCAAATTTAGCAAGCCGAAATCTATGGGGACGTTCGGACTGACTCGAAGAAATAAAAACGAAAAGCAGCCAAAGTCAAACATCGACGATTTGCCTAAAGACTAAGAGTAAGCTTCGCGATAGTAGAAACAAAAGGGGAAAAACTGACATTTATGAGCTGCTGAAGGTCGACCCAAGATCACCGTACTTGATGTTCGAGAAAACGACATAGGAGCTGGCGGCCGACGATTCGACATCAGATGGTACGCCAGAGCTTGTAGAGCAAGATCCACGGGCGACACCAGGGTCGGAGGCATCAGTATCGGTAGGGTAGTCACTGTCAAGCCACAACATGTTGGCAGTGTGGTCATCCCAGACACTCATAACCAAAGCCATGCCAGACTCAAAGGCATCACCCATGACCGCTAATCCACCACGGCTGGCGAAGGAGTCGGTGTCACCGAAGGCGGTCTTCTGGGCGGTGCAGAAGTCGTCTGTGATGGAGTTGTACGAGTCCATGCCGTCGATGTTCGTAGCGGAGTTTTGGATAACTTCACCGTTCTGAACGTAAATGCGCCGGATTTCGACGAGGTCGCCGGAAGTCGTGTTGTCGGAGGTGATGAATTGAGTAACGACGGTGAACGTGGAGCTGGTATCGACGGTCAGGCCAGTGCCGAGGAAAGTCTCGTTTCCCATGCGGTATGAGTTGAAATCGCATCCGTCTTTGTCACACACTCCATCGTACCTCTCGTCACCATCACCGCAATCAGTGCCGTTGCAGCGCTGCTGCCCGGAGATACTGCAAACGTGAGGGGTGTAGGCGGCCGCCTGGGAGTTGGCTTCCCAGACATCCATCTCATTACAGCACGAGCCGTAGTAGCCAGTTCCGGAGTTGGAGTCATTGGTGGAAGGAGTCCAGTCGAGAATATTGGCCTTTTGAAGACGTGAGAAGGGAGGGAAAATAGCAAACGTAAAGTACAAACCTCCCCGTTGATGAACTTGAGGTCATGAGGACACTGTGTGTCGCAGTAACCAGTTCCGTACTTGGCACCAGCCTTGTTTGTGGAGTATTCCGACGTTCCACCATCAGCATCCATCTCCACAAAGTACAGAGCACCGTTGAGGCCGCAAGGGAGAGTCGACATGTCGACGTCGAAGGTAAACTCCTTGTTCTTCAAGTTGAACATCTGGTAGGTGTCCTCGTCGTCGAGAAGGTAGACACGGCTGCCAATATTAGAGCCAGTGACAAACTTCAGAGTAAGCGCATCATCGTCGGTGGTGATACCGTAGGTGCCGGAGTAGTCTGCACCGTCCAGGGCGCAGCTCGACGTACATGTGTCGACGTCAGTACAGATGGAAGTGTCCCACTCATTGCCAGTGTAGCAATTCGTGTAGCCACTGGTAATGTGGAGCCAGCGCCAATTCGCGTCGAGGACAACCGACTTGGACTGCGAAGTGCAGCTACCGTCAGACGTGCACTCTTGGATGGTGAGAGATGGATGGGTTTCTGTGGTGTAGGTGCCAACCTGCTGGCCCCGGGCAGAACGAAGGAGAGTGAAAGCGACGAGTGCAGCTACGCCGTACATTTTGGCTGTAGTGGATTGACGATCCTGGGGCAAAATTCGCAGTTTATATACGAGCCTGATCGGAGAATATCTGGGGATTATTTCTCGCTAAACGTAGCCTGCGAGAGTGTCGCCGGGTACACAGGTAAAGAAAAAAGGAGAAAAGAAATGCCAATATTCAGTAGCAACCGGATACTTCTCGGTTGGTTGGCCAAGGTCGCCTTTTTGATGCTGAACTAGAGCTCGAACACTTTCGACTCCGAGGAGACACCGATAGATAAAACTCCGCGAAATCTGAGAAGGGGGCCGAGAAATGTCGTTCACACCTCTGCGCCTGAAGAGCCGCCATCGTGATCGCGAAGTGTCACAAACGTAGAAAAGGGTGTCGAGACCCGACGGATCCGAAAAGCCGTACTTCCGGGCCGCTCTACCGGGATGAAAGGTCGGTTCTGTGTCTTGTCGCTCTTGGAGTCTAGGTCGCCACTATCGTCGGTATTGATGACTCAAACCCCGTAGCTAAAAGGATCAAGATTCTTCACATCATAACGATGCATTTAGGATACGTATTCGTCGCGTTCTCTCGGAAAAAAATGGGTGCTTTTGTATCCACCTTACCCTCCAAGTCACCGATACGTAAATTCTCCAGCCGCTTAGAACACATGGTTACCATTTAGGATCGATGCAGATGCTGCGGTCCTGATGCACACCCAAGGCCATAATCCACGTGACAAAATGAACTTGGTATTTCTTCAAAAACTATCGTACTTCTATAAGAATTTACAGCTCCTCCATAGCAACGCTTACTCCGTCCGCGAAACTACCAATTACTTCCCGAAGCTCTTCCTCATTCAGAATGGCTTCATGACAGCGAGCAGCGACCCCAATCGTGTTCGTCTCCGCATTCAAAGCGACATCAATGTACAAACCATACTAGCAACATCAATCAGAACCAAGTCACAGGAGTACAAGCCCACGCGCATACCTTAGGAAGATGTGAAAGATCCAACGTGTCGACCGACGACCGAAGCTCGAAAGGCTCTTCAGCAGCATAGTCAGTAGGTACCCCGACCTTGACAGGAACGATCAGTAAATTGCCCATGACACAGAAATTAAAGACACGCGTACAGGGAGAATCTGAAGAAGCGAATCATGGGAGATCGTCCGGATCTTGTTGCCATGCCAAAGCAGATTGATGAAGATATTAAACAGCGGCCCGTCATATTGAACCCATTTCAGAATCTCCGGCAGAGCACTTTGTTCAAATGCAGTACGCCTTCCGAGGTCTACTTGAAGTTGACGCGCTACGTCGCCGACTTTGCCAGGATCAGCTGCTGGGATGCACATAGGCAGAATGTTGACACAAGGTCCGGCGAGCCTCTCCAGGTTGTCAAATGAAGCGGCGCGGCTGGTATGATACACGCCTAACACAGGAGAGTCTTGTCCGGTCAAGGTCTTCCCCACACGACCCCAAACCGCCAACACTAGGGCTTGAAGACCAAGACCAACTGCTTGACAGCGCGACTGCAACGAGTCTGTCGAACTAATGATAGCAGGAGCCCGCACGAAGACCTGCTTCAGATCAGAGCAAGAGTGTTTGGGTCCCAAAAGGGACGATCCATTGATTTTTAACGAATCCCGCCAAAAGGTGGCCTCGGCGGCCCTATCCGACTTAGTAGAGACGTGTTTGATGAACCCGGCAAAGTCTGGAGCGCTCGTGCAGTCGAAGCCTTGGTACAATGCGCACAAGTCTGCAACCAGCAGAGGAACAGACCAAGCATCTAGTAGCAATAATGTATCAACAGACGTCATTGCCCTCGAGATCAGTCGCTTCTTACCGTATGTGGCATGATGGAGTACGAATAACAGCGCGTCTTGCTTTCCTACTCGCACAAGCTTAATACGGCCTGACGGAGTAAACAAGGTCGATGGCCGACGGTATTCTATTCGTACTTGCTCTTTGACGCATTGCTCGAAATCCCCATCAAATTCGGTAAAGCTCCAGCTTAGATCATTCTTCGGAAGACTCTTTTCAATAACTTGAAGAACATTGGAAGAGGAAGTCGCAGCAAACACGGTACGGAGGATGCCGTGACGTTTCCGAAGAGCATCCCATGCCTGACGTAGTCGGTCAACGTCAAGCTGTTTTGAGGGTTTGTACACGAACACCGGCTCGTAGAACGTGCCACCGCAGCTGAGCCATGCACAAAGATGATAGTGTTGACCCTAAAGGCAGCCATTAGCATCAAGTACAGTATAATTATGTTGGTTGGAACATACAGGAAGGACAGGTAGCACTTCTTCAACGTCCTCATCTCCGAGACCTAGAAGCTCCAATACCTGCGCGCGTTCATGGTCTTGTACAAGTTCTCTCGCAGACAAGATTGCATCATGAGCAGAGCTTTGGGAGACCTCATAATTACCGCAGATCCCGGCGATCGTCTCACCCGCGAATACGTCCGATACTGCGATGTCGAGCCCTTGACTTCGGCACCTGGATGCGATCTGGATCGCAGCAATGGAGTCCAGCCCAAGGGCATAAAGCGGTGCATGAAGTCCGACGCGTTCGAGAGATATTCTGGAGATTTTTGAAAATATCTGGCGTAAAACGGTCTCGTTCGGCGAAAATTCTCGAGTGGGTTCATCAGCATCGTCTTTAGATGGTGAGGGCGCGACGAATTTCCGAGAGGCAGTTGCTACCTCTCGAAGATTGGGGGGATAGCTTAGAACGCTATCCGAAGGTTCAAGGATGATGTTTTCAAGTGTCTCTCGTAGGATCTCAAGGTTTCTTTGCAGTTCGTCCTCAGAAAATACTCGAGGCTGACACCCGGCTCGAATCTCTAAAACGTCACTCGCATGAATAATTTCGAGATTCAAAGGATACTAGAAAAATAAAGTCAGGATGGGCAGATACATAGTTAAGAACTAAAGACCCACCTCGGCTGGTGACGGGTCGCTTGTCAGGCTATATGGAATCCACAGATCTGATCGTGATCGGCTTTGTTCTCCAGTATGCTGCTGGAACACAAACAAGGTGTCAAAGAGCGATTCTCCAGTGGAAGTGTCTGCGCGCCACTTTCGTTGTATAAGACGAAGAGGGACATGATGATGTGGTTCACTTTGTACGTTCGACGCATGCTGCGCCTGAACGGCCTCGGCATTTGTCCAAGCTGTTTGGGATAGCGTAAAACGGAATGGTATTGTGCTGAAGTTAAGTTTACATTTATGAGTAAATTTTCTAGACCAAAAGAAATACCTCTCACTTGAAAAGCGGGCCGCTGGCGTGCAATGCATTGTCAAGGTCGATCGCACGACCAGAGACCACTTGGCCAAAGACGACATCCGGTGAGCCTGTGATACTAGCCAAGGTTTTTCCCCTAAGAGGTGTAAGGCATATGAAAGACAATTCGATTAATCACCCACCATGCCAGAAGAGCAACGGCTTGGACTGTCACACCCAACGTTTTGATCGTATCAAGAGCGCCTTCAGGAAGTGTTAGTAGGGTTCGAGCGAGGTGACCTCGTGTCGTAGTTCCTTGTCTCATTGGTAGTGGTGCACAAGTGAACTTGGACAGACGCTTTCGCCAAAAGTCCGACTCGTCCTTAGAACTGTGCAAGATGAACGGTACAGCGTCAGGGAATTGCGGACGCTTCAAAGGTTCGATTCCTCGGTATGCAGCGGCGACATCGTCGAAGATGGAAGGCAGAGAAAGCCCATCGTAAAGACTATGGTATGTAAGTGCGGAAATATGGCACAGAGAGAAAACTCTCACCAATGATGAATTAAGGCGATCAGAATTCGGGTATCTGGAGCGCATATAAGGTGAAAGGACAGTGGCGGTATCTCAAATGCATGTTCATCCTGAATAGCTTCTGATTCTTTGATTTTCTGCCCCAGTGAACAGATGTCTGTATTGGAAGAAACCGAGTACTCCGTCCAACGTATGGATGCATTACTATGCACCGCAGCGACCCAAGCGTGATCGCCTTCTGGACATGCAATGAACGAGGAACGTAAGATATCTGTTGACGCAATTACTTGCTCCCAAGCAGATTTAAGGCGAAAGGTGGAGACGGATGGATGTAGCTTAATCACATGATCTCCCATGTACAGCCGACCGCTCGACGCGACTGTTTGAGTGAGCATCCCGGTTTGCAAAGGCGTTGCCGGAAACATTGCCGTGATTATGTCATCTTCGGCAAGAAGCCGAACGATGGGGCCGTATTCGTTAAGGAGACGCGTTTGAAGGCCTTTAAAGGCGCTCACAATAGCGCCGGCGGACTCGGACACTTCCGCAGAAGATTCGTTGACATAGCCCACAAGTTTCCCTATACAGGGATGACGCATGATGGCAAATGTAGGAACGGCGAAACCTTCAGCTCTCAACTGCTGGGCCAGGCGAATGCTGGTGATAGAATCAACCCCAAGGTGGAGGAAAGAAAGATCCTTGGTGATAATAGTTGGATCTACGTTGCAAAGTTTGGCAACTACGTCTCGAACTAGAATTTCTCGAGGAGACCAGGTCGTCGGGTCATACAAGGCACGTTGTAATGGCACACTGGAAGACAGTGATGGCATTGTTGGCGTTATAGTTTGGGTGGGATCAGTGACAAGATTCGCCATACGGGACAACAGAGACGTGACGGAAGCGCTCAAACCAAAGCTAGGCGTGTAACCGGCGAAGATAGTGGCAGCGTTTTCGTTTGGATCAGCTTCAAACGCTACAGCCAATGGATGCTATAATTGAGATCAGTTAGCAGATAATAGGCAACGGAGGACATGCTTACGTCGATGGCTGCCTTACTCTCGAGGACTGACCAAAGTTTATGGGACGGGGACGGGGACAATGTTGACCGACTAAAGTTGAACAGCGTATCAAAAAGTTGTTCGCCAGACCCAAGCCACCGTTGTATCAAACGAAGAGGAGTATGTTGATGTTCCATCACAGACGATAGATCAACCTGAACTTGACGGGCGATATCGGCAAATATTTGAACGTCTACAGCACGAACCCGGACAGGTACAGTAGTAATACAGGGAGCTAAACAGTATAAAAGTCACAGAGAAAGCGTCACAGAGGAACAAGACACATACCCAACATGTTATCCACTCCGTCGACTAGCAATGTACGACCTGACAGAACGACACCAAATACCTTAAATGTCTATGAGGAAAGAATACACCAAGAATGTCCTGAAAACATACAGAATCATTGATCTTCTGATGCTCTCCTAACGCAATTCCGAACGCTGACAGTGCCAGAACATGGAGACTGATATTCAAAGCACGAGCAGTTTGCTCGAGCACAGACAATGGTACACCGAGAACATGTCTTTCATGATTAGATTCGAGGCTGCTATATGTATGAGTGATGGCGGGCTTGGGGGCATTGTCGAGATAATCAGAATAGAATGAACGAGCCAACTCTTGCGACTGGTGTGCGAGATGGCTGATCAAGCGACTGATTGGAGCACGTTGGAGGGTAAAACACCCTAAGTACCGTTCATAGATCTCTGACAGGAGCATCGGCAGCGATTCACCTATATGGAAAGACGTGTCGGGTAAGCAATTTTATTTTTCTAAGCCGATAACATACCATCGTAGATTGCGTGATGCATAGTAAGACGAAGAAGTGTAGACCCTGCCTTCGACGAATATAATGCAAGCCGAATGGGCGGCTGAGTTCCGATATTCTGCACTACATCGAGTTCGACGGCACCTATATCTCCGCGAAGAATGACTAGAGGATCTTTGTCATCCGACACTTCGACAACCGACCAGACATTTGAGACACAGGAAAGAACGACTTGGACCACGTTTCTGTCGTCGATGAAAAAACAGGTTCGCAGGATGTCGTTTGCAGCAATCGTTTCATCAATCGCATTGCGAAGCTGAGACACGTCTGCCTCGTCAAGACGTAAAATGAAGTGATTGACGTAAACGGGCTGAGCAGAATTGAGCGTGTGAGCAATCAGTCCTTCTTGCAATGGTAGACAAGGCTGGACGAGCTGGATATCATGGTCCGAAAGATGGTCCCGAACCCGTTCCTCCAGATGAGTCTCCATCCGCCACGAGGACACCTGACTCCTGTCTTCGATAAGTAACCGCGATGATTTCGCCAGCTTCGATACAGATGGTCCAGCGAGAATGACATGTGGAGGAACAAAAAAGCCCGCTGCTTTCATCTGGAAACTCAAAGAGATAGCACTTAGAGAATCAATTCCAAGTTCTAGTGTCGTCGTGTCGGCATTCATGGCGTCGACGGGAACCCGTGTGATGCCACTGACGATGTTGCATATCTCTTTCTCGAGAGTCGTAAGAGGACGCGAGACAGACGGCTGTTCACTCGGATCACCGAGAATCACCAAAGGAGAATGAATGAACACATGCTTCAGGCGCTTATGATCTACCTGCGAAGAGAAAACGTTGGCAAGGGGGATAAAGTCCAAGGGTATTATCTTGTCGGGAATTAAATGCCGGGAGAGTCGGCTTCGACAAGCAGAGTGTATAGCTCGTGCTAGTGTCGCATCTGTCATGCAGACATTCGGTAAGGACCCCAGAAATGGGTCGGCGTTCATTGAACGCGATATGAAGGAGACAACATATGTCTGTAATCCCTCCGGGTGATCAAGTGCTAGTGTGTGCACATTCAAACCCTGCTGAGCTAAAGAAGAGACCGCCTCAGAAATCTCGGCAAGGTCGAGCTTTCGCCCCCGCAAGAACACTTCATTACGACGAAACAAGTCAACCGACTATCAAAGGCAGGTTAGGAAGGTGACCACAGGAGGAAAACTGCAGCATACTTCATCAGCTCTTACACGAGCTATGGAGCCTGTTCTGAGGATGGGTCCATAGGGGGTGTTGAGAACAAACCGTCCCACCAAACCCGGCAGGTGGCCAGGACATACTGACTTTCCGGACAAATATAATTCCTAACTATGATGAGCAGAGGCATATGATAGCTTGAGAGAGAACGCACTCCCTCTTCACCCCGAAGTGTGGGTTGCATAGATTTGGCGTGGAGGATGAGAGCCGTATAGTTTCCGAGAATGTTGCCCACATTCCAGTTTGTTGTAGTGGAGCAGTACTTGCCCAAAAAGCAGATACCCGCTGTTTCTGAAGACACGAGAGTCAGTTAGGGAGAGAGCACAATTAGGATCAGATAAGGCTCACCACTCAGTCCAAATGCCTGATCGAGTGGTTAGAATGTGTCAAAATGCATTAATGTACAAACTTACCGACAGAACAGTCAGATCGGATGATTCAGTCCATTCATCCAGGAGCGGAGAATGCGACAAGTGGCCTTTTAAGGGAGAAAATGAGGACAGAGACGCATAAATGTCCGGTGTACTAACCAGTCAAGATCGTGCACCGTAATCTGGGTACATCGCAGGGCCGCACACCTTTTCGCTCTAGCCAAGCGGGGAGTAAACTACGAGAATAGATAAGTTTAGGCATCAGACAACAAGGTCTACTTACATAGCATGGGTGACACCGGTGTTATTTAGGATCGTTGGACAATCGTCCTGTAAAAGACCGCGCGGAACACTTGTTATGGTCATCCCGGTACGAAATGGCAATAAGAGCTCGAGGAGATGTCCATCGCACGCTGACTCAGTTGTCAACAAGCATGAATTGATAAAGACCTGTCTCCTTACATAGCGGTAGCCAGCTCAGGAAATCTCCTGCGTCGTTGAGCGAGTGGTGTAGGTGGAGCTTGTAGGCGCATGCTTCGACGGAAGCAACCACGCTACTCGAGGAAACAAAACAAGGGCGAGAGGTGCTGAGGTGTCCGTCTCCAAACATTACTATGATAGTAAGTCAAAATAGATGTCATGATTGACAACCACTGTATATGGACTCACTGCAAGTAACTTCGGGGGCTGTATATGCTGGTGCGGATGCAGGGTAGCGAGAAACTTGCTGCGCGTGGCGCGCGTCATCGATATCAATAATCTTTGCGGGCTCAATAGAAACAAAGTCTTCCGCACAGCTCGCCACAGTGAAAACTAGAGTAGCACCTCCAGCGCGGAATAATAACCTCTTGCGAAAGGCAGGAATCTCATACCCAATCGGAAGATAAATCTGTTACATGCTTCTAAGGTCAATGTGTTTAGTCACAGAACAAGTACTTACAGAACCAGACTTCAGTATCCTGACATTTGAACGTCAGTCGCAATCGTATCTAACGACAGTCAGAACGCACCCGAACTGATAAGCGAACAATGCATGACACTGGGGCATACACAATGCAATAACACCAGGATATGTGGTTCCCCGACGAATCCAATTAGCGATGCGGTTGGAGGCCTAGAACGCAATTAATGAATAAGTCGCAGTCCGCGATCTACCTTCGACGAACCTCGTCAAGTTCTCTGAAAGTCCACGTGGAGTGAGGGCCTTTCTTCGCTTTATAAATAGACACAGCAATGTCATCTGGGGAGGTGAGTGCGCGCTTCGCCAGCCAATGGACGGGCTCAAAACCGGATGAACTGGAGGAGGTTGGAAAGGGAATCGACTTCAACACAGAGAGATGGTGCTCCTTCAGGCCAAGCGATAGCTTTGAAAGCGGTCTGTCCAAGGCTTCTAACATGACTGTCAACACCGCACTGAACTGATCTGCTAGTAGTTTCACTTGTTTGGAAGCCCTGTTGCTTGATCAGAAGGTCATACCGGGGGTAAGGGTGGCACGTACATAAAGTCGCTACTTCCTAGAACATTCACAACCACTTTATCAGCTGTGACGGCGACATTAACTGCCAGAGGGTGCTCCACGCCGAGACTTGCGATGTCAGTGCAGTCAGTCCATAAGCTTTGAGCAGTCTGTGGGTTGCCTTCTTCATCCACAGAATATATGACAAAGATTGCTGGAAAAACTGGCTGGCGAACTGGCTTCTGAAGTATTCGACGAACTCGCTGCAGTGAAACAAATCTGTGGGTTACACACTTTGTAGATAGGCTGGAGATAGCACTGATGAGGCTTCGAGGGGAGGAATTTCCAGTGACGTTCGCTGCGACTGGAGTGGTAGTTATCAAAGGCGCTATTGCACTCGCTAGCTTGGCATTTCCTACGCGGAGGGAGAGCGTTTCTCCGAAGACAACCTTATCTGTTCGAAGGTACGAGGATAGAATAAAGGACCACGCTGCTTGTAAGACATGGCTGATAGAGGACTGCACCTCATTCGCAGCAAAGGCAAGGGCAGTTCTGTCAGGTTCGAAGGAAGCAGCATAAAAGCGAGTTTTGCGACCACAATCCTCGTGAGAGGACAGATTTGGCCAGAGATTGGCATGCTCGTCTGCAAAAGGACTTAGAACATCTTGCCAGAATGCGTCAGACGTTTTCGGATCCGTGTTGCCAGACACCAGTGACAGAGCGCTTGATAGTTGGAGGCGGGGGGTGAGATCGCCTCCTTGATAGGCAGTCTGTACATCAGCCAGGAGATACCCAATGGCATCCGCGTCGTACAGCGCATGATGGATGCTCAACATCAGCCAAGATTGAGTATCGTTGTCCGTTTCGAAGATAGTCAGCGACCAAGGTGGAAGCTGCGACCCGATTCGGGACACAACGATGCTCCGAGCAATCTGTTCTGCATCATTATTTATGTTCCGCCTATTGCATCGCTGGTGAGTAGCATGAACGAGCGGCTGCTGTAGGAGAGCTTGGATAAACACCCTGACATTAACGAGTCAGCGATGCAACCACAAAGGAAGGAGTAGCACCAACGGTGAAGAGGTCGAATCGCCACCGGCTACAGAATAAGCAGCTGCAGGGAGAAAAACAATCCTTAGGGCCTCCGTGCAGGTCGCAACGTTCACCCATGCCTCTAAGAGTTTGTCTAAATCGACAGCCCTGCCGAACGAAAACAGTCGATGGGACCAATACGCCGCTTCGTGTTTGATTGTTTCACCTAACATGCCTTCTTGTACTATGCAGAGCTACTCGTAAGTTCACCATAATCAGTTGATTGGCGGATGAAGCTTACAGGGTGTGCACGGGAGGATGCGCTCCACACCTTGAAGACTACTTTGCACACGTGGTCGCCATAGCGAGTCGAACTCTTTGAACCATGTACATATGGGCACTGAGTTGGGAAGTTCGTCCGATTCGCTAGAGAGGATCATTCTAGCCAGTTGCTTGGTGGATGGATGGCGTAGAATGTCACTGACAGCAACGGGAAGACCTGATCCACGAAGGCGCGAAGCCAGCTGAACTGCACGGATCTGCTACATTTAGCTGCATACAAAAAGCAGCGATATGGACTCACCGAGTCAATGCCTAGCGCAGCAAAACGGGTGGTTTTGCTGATAGAATCAACTGGTGTATCTGTGAGGTCCGACAGCACAGTCCTGATCTTCTCCTCGCCGTTAGACCAAGTTTTGTCGCCGTCGTCGCCCATCGCAACGGCAATGACTGATTCCCACGCTGAAATATCCATCGAAGCATAATATTCTCCGAGGGCTGCTCTATCTATCTTATTAGACGCAGTATGTGGAATGTGTTGGACCACCACAATAACGCTGGTTAAGCGGTATTAGTCAACAGATATCAAAGGGTATAGTCAACGCACTTCGGATGCATGAAGACGGGTAACGATAACTCTGCATGCCTCCTAGCAGCACAGGCAATGGCGACGGCTTCTTGGTTAGTGCATACTTTTCCATCGTTGTCAAGGCTGGGTGCGGAGATGAAGGTACAGACAACCTTTTGAGGACGACTATGTGTAATTCGCTTAGCACGTGAAGGATTGATGTGCGATTCAAACTTACTCGGGTCTGGAAAGTAGCATCGTAGATGCTTCCCTTGCAAGAAGGTGACAAGAACCTAACGCTGCACTAATTTCGGACAGTTCGACTCGGATACCTGGTAGATTATTGAGATACACATTCGTGACAGCATAAGAAGGGAAACGCACCACCTAGCTTTACCAAATCATCATTTCGACCAACAAATTCACATGTACCATCGTGAAGGAACTACAGCAGATGTCAACAATATGTATGTTTTTGGTTGCACAGAACGTACGCGAACGATGTCCCCAGTCAAATATATCTTCCCAGCGATAGGATGATTGATGAACTTCTTCAAAGTCATTTCAAGCTGATTGTGATATCCACGAGCATTTTGATGACCACCCAGAGCTGCGGCCAAGAATGATAAGTCGGTTGAAATCGCGAAGCGGAGACAGGCGCTGTACCCAGTTCGCCCACAGCGCCACGAAGCAGAACACGTTCATTCTTGACGGCAACGCAACTGACAGTCGGGAGAGGAAGGCCAACATTCGGTGCTTTGGTTATCTCATTCGACCGAAAACGACGATCTGTCTTACTGTTAACAATCTTGAAGCCCACAACTTCAGAATGCCTTACATGTCGCGATTATAGTGGCTTCCGCCGGACCTGAAAAAATATTGAGAACAGAAGAATATGACCGTGCAGATTGCATACCGTATGTGTTCAGTGATACTGTTCCCGGTCGGGACCAGGCATCTGCTACAGTATCGGGCAACTTCTCTCCGATACTAATTAGGCTTTCAAGCGAGTTACAGGCATTCAGTGTGGATTGCGCCATAAAGGCCGGAGTCAACTTGATTACACTATTCGTCAGCCATCAGACATGTCCATAAAAGAAACGGCGTACGAATGCGTGCGTTGCTTGAAAACTATTTACAACATCCGCAAACTGCCCGACAAGGATGTCTTTGCTGGAAGAGCAAAGTGTCCCGCATGCCTTTCCCAGAGCGTAGAAAACATCGAGTATCTTTGTTCTTTCAGTTAAGTTTGTAGTGATAACATAGCGTTACTCACTGAGACGTCAAACCTAGAAGGCAAATGTTAGAACAATTGAAATTATCGCTGGAATTTCTACGCCTACGTGTATGCAGAGAAATTCAAACAACGAACACCAGTAGAGTTAAATGGAATCACTTCTTGCAACACTGTTAGAGCCTGCACCGCCGCTCTGTGTTCGATCGGTACGCCCTGACAGATATACGATGAGCTATGGACATTGAGTGTCAGAGGAAGCAGCAAACCTTCGGGGCTCCGGTAGTACCACTTGTCCAGATTAGATACGCTAAATGGGCTGAGCTGATGTCGACGACCGGCACATTTTCAGGTTCGTTGAGTAATCGTATGTCATTAAGAGCTAAAAGATCCAGCCCTTCGGGAATAGCCGTCCGTAACTCGCGGCATGCCTCCTGATTTGGAACCAGCACGACCGGCCCTCCAGCTCGAAGAAACAAGTCTTTCTTCCGTAACTCTGGAGCAGCATGGTCCACCGGACACCAGCAACCTCCGGCCTAGATAGGGCATCAGATGAAGTGAGACAAGAACGACTATGAATCAACGAACTTTAACCACACCGAGAATGGCGACATAGAGTTCGGGACACTTTTCCATGCACAGAGGAATTAGTATGTCGTAGAGTTCGCCATAAGTCTTGACCAGGTGATGCGCCAGCTGGTTCGCTCGACGATCAAGCTCACCATAGGTCCAGCGTACGTCCATTTCCTGGTGCATCAAGTCAGCTTTGAACCATACGGCTAGGGCGTCGGGTTGTAACCGGGCATTTTGTTCGAATTCATGATGGATGAGAGTCGAAGGCAACACGGGCTGGAGTGTGGGTATAGGATTGATGGAAGCCTGCAACTCGTGTCGAACACTAGATGTAGCATGCAAAAAAGGCAAGTCCGGTGGCCTGTCTAGGATATTGCTGAGGATATCATCAAACTGTTGTAACATGGCCTCGCTAGCTGTAGGAATGAGAACGTTGTTCGAGCACGTTGCTCGGAGACGAATCAAGTCGCTTTCCTCGGGCCAGATTTCAAGGACGACGGCGAACTAGGATACTTTTGTCAACTCACATAAAAATGATGCTAAATTTTAGCATTACCTCCGTGGCCATGGCCGGATATGTCACTGATGTCCATAGCTCTGTCTGAGATGCTCCCTGTCCGAACTGCTGCAAAGCAACTGTAGTATCGTAGATGATACCATTGGTACCACTCAAAACAGTGACAGGAGGGTGGCGCTTGATAAGACTGTCAACATTACTCCGTACCAAGCGAGACAAAAGGTCGCGCGTAGTAGCTCCCGTAACATTGCGAACGCGCACGGGTACCGCCGTAAACATGGGACCGACAGTGTGCTCGAGAGATTCGGAAGTACGTCCGCCAACGATGCTACCGAAAACAATGTCCTCAGCGTCGGACTCAGAGTAAGCAAGCTACCCAAAAATCAATAGAAGGCAAGCAGTGTTAAAAATATAGCGCACCAAAATGCTAGCCCACGCAGCTTGTACCACAGCTAATGGCGTCACGTTGAGCTTTCGAGCCTTGCGAGCGAGGTCAGACATAGACGTCGATGACATCACCGTCGACACATGGAATCCTTTCTGCTTAGCGGACTGGCGAAGGCCCGTGAGATCGGGGAAAGAGTCAGGGGTGAAATCTAGTTCAGTAGTCAATATGTGAACAATGCTAACGTCTCGAACGGGTCACCTTTGAGCTCCTCGACCCAATAATCATTACACGCGTCCATATCAGCATTGAGAACATCAATAATGGCATTCTTGAAGTCCTCCCGAGGGACAGCCGCGCAGGGATCGTGATACAAAGCAGCGAGTTCCTCAAGCATGAGTGCAAGTGAAGCGCCGTCTATGATCCTTGCTAAGTGTATGACAGATGTATAACGCGGAGAAAAACTCACCGAAAAGCGCGTGGTGAAGGGTTAGCACAAACCTGACATCAGACGAGTCAGTATTGTGCATTAGTGCCACTGCCCATGGGTCACGAAGCGACAGATTTCGAGGCGTGCGCTCAACATAGTCTTCTACCAGCATGTCCACATCCCCTCCCGATTCCTCAATCCAACAAAAGTTACATTCTTCACCAGAAACCAATGCAAATGGACTAATGGTACTGTTATCGATCAAGATGAATGAAGTGCGCAAGATGGCATTTCGGTGAACCACGGCTTCCCATGCCTGCTTGAAGCGATTCGAATCAACTCCCTGTGTGAGGGTATAAACCGAATGATTGATGTAACCGGATTGTCCCTCAGAACGTAGGTATAAAGCAAGCAAACTGGCTTGCATAGGTGTAGCCGGCATGATCCGGGCCATGTGGCCGTGTTCTTTCCATACAGCTGCACCAGCCTCGGCTGCGAACTGCTCCAAAATTTCAACGTGCTTCGTAGGAACATCGGTATCGGCGTCTTGGTCTTGACTCTCCATGATCCTCCGAGCAAGATACACAGGTGTTGGGTTTTGCAGCTGAGAGAAAATCCCAAATGAGCTGACGCGTCAAGAAAAAAACCTGACACGAACCACATCAAGAATGGCTAAACTTTTCAAACCGGCCTCGCGAGCAAGGGTCAAGAAACGAACACCGCGCAGGGAGTCAATGCCGAGGGCGATAAAGCTACTGTTAAGCAAAACAGAGGTCTCTTCGAGTTCTGCGGTCTCCGCCACAAGCTTAACAACAGTCTTCAGGATCTCAGGATCTATATCACTTCCAGCATCTTCCTTGACCTTAGCAATGGACTGAGCCTCTGAGAAGAATGCCGCCACAAGTTTCGCTATAGCTCGACGATCTGCTTTTCCAGCCGTCGACTTGGGTGTTGTCTGTGCAAGAAAATAGCTGACAGGTCGCATATGTGCAGGAAGCCGAGCTTCAGCGACGCGTCTCACTTCGTCTATAAGACTCTTTTCTTCCGGCGTAATTAGGGCAAGAAGCTGTTCGACGCCGGAGTCAGACTTGTGAACAACCGCGTGTGCTGACTGAACACCAGAGACGGCGGATAATATGGCTTCGATCTGCAAAAGACCGTTAGTCCTGGCCAGGTAGAACATTATGTCATATACAGACCTCTCCTAATTCCACACGCCTGCCACTAAGCTTTACTTGGTCCATTCCCATGCGTCCAAGGTATTCGATTCCAGACCATTCACCTACATCGTCGATTACAACACGAGCGCGATCACCTGTGCGATACACGCGTCCAACAGCATCAATTTCTATGAATGCACGGGATGTTTGCTCTGGCATGTTCAGATATCTAGAGCTCACTTTGAAATACAAGCAAACCGACGGAGAATATGGACATACCCTTTCGCCAGCTGAGGACCTCCTAAGCCCAGCTCTCCCGGAAACCCAAGCGGCACAAGTCTGGGTTCAGTAGGATGCAAGATCATCATGGAGGCAGTGGATATAGGCGACCCAAGGCGTGAGCCAGATTCATTACGGGGATGAAGACGCAGTGTCACGTTGATGGCAGCCTCCGTCGGACCCTGAGCAACTGGATTAGCCTGGGTATCTCCCCTGGTGAAAAGAGGACTCACATAAGCATTGCACAGGACATATCCCTGGTCTGGTTTGCTAAATGCTTCGATGACACGCTCGGAAAGGCGTTCACCCATGGTCCAAAGCTCGAACGACGGCCCTATGCGTTCAGGACGTAGCATAGCCGCAAAGCTTGGAGTGGCCATCATATGAGAGCAGTTGAGCTCTGATAGAACAGCTTCCGGATTCGTAAGCAGACGTTGACGATTTGCGGCGCATATCGTCGTGCCGGATGAGAAATTCATAAATGTCTCCATAAGAGACTAGAGAGGATGAGTGCGAGAGGACAATAGAGAGTTGAAATAACTTACAGGGTCAAAAGTTGCAGCAGCAAACTGGAACCATCGGGTTCCTGGAGGAAGAGCACGAACCGCAAGATGAGAAGAGATTGAGCACGCCGCTGCCAAATGGGTAATCTGAACACCTTTGGGTTTCCCCGTCGAACCGGAGGTGAAAAGAACTACCAGAAAGTGAAGAAGTTATTCTATATATTTTGGATTTGTTACGCACCATATGCCAGATCTGATTCGCAGGGAGGTTCCCATTCCAGAGGTGCTTCTGCGGGTGCACACGCAGATGCTACATCTACCCAGTGCACGTCCTCGATAGCATCCATCCATTCAGGACGGAATCCCATCCCAAGAACAACTGGTGCACCAACGTCCCGAACCAATTCCAAGATACGCTCAACTGGAGCAGTATCTAGACCCGGAAGAGGTGAAAACGCACAACCAGCACGTAGAACTGATATGTATCCGACATACAGCTCCGGAGAAGGAGGTACTGCCAATGGGATAATGCTCTTTCTCTCATGGACGAAATGATGCAGAATCCGGGCAATCGTATAGGACCGCTGGTCCAATTGGCGGTAAGATATAGCACGACGAGGAGCATTTTGAACATCCAAAAAATCAACGGCCGTTGCATCTGGATTAGCAGCGGCTTTCTGGAGGAATGCACCGTGGAGAAGAGCAGGCCGTTCAGCTGAAAACGGGTAGGCCTGCGGCGGATGATTCACGAGAGAAAGTTCGTCATCGTTGGTACAGAAAACAGCAGTACCGCTTTCTTGGGTATACAAGTGCAGCAATCGCCATGCTAGAGAATTTGGAATATGCTTTTCGGAGAACTGGAGGACAAGAGACGAGGATCTGATTTGGAGATGGAATAATACGTGTGCAAGGGTCTGCCAAAGCACGTGAGTGTGTGAATTATCGTCGGGAGCACAGTTGCTCACCTTGGGTTCCGACGACGACGACGACGACGATGATAATTGAACCTCGACAGCCTCCAGTCCGGTCACCTGGGAATTCCGGAGAGTGATGACACTCTCTGTTGAATCTTGCTCGTCTTTTCCCTCTGCGATAACACAAGCATCGTCTTGAAACCGAAACGCAAACTCGCCGGTCGTCCCTATCAGCGTGCGTACAACAGCAGCGAAAGCCAAAACATCCGCTGACGAAGAAGCAGAAATGTTCAGTTTGATGACAGTGGTCGGGTCTTGGGCGCCGCCAACGACAGAAGGGAAGAAACACGGAACACGGGTTGGGGGCAAGGCGCGCACTGGCTCTTCTGGCGACAAAGAATCCATCTTGACGTATACCACCTTCAGTACGTCCTGGACTCTCTGACTGTGCTGTTTTCGGGGGCTTTTTTTCTTTCGATAATTCAAGCATACGCATCTTATCAGATAATTTTTTGGTCTAATCTTGGCCTGCGTCATCGAATTGGACCTATCTGATCTTATCAGATACTTTCGGCTTCCGGGATTCTTTCAATTCCAAATTTCCGAAGAACTTACGTTCCAGAATACATTCTATCGCCATCTGTATAAAAACCATGCGGTCCTTCACTTCTGGAGAGCTATAAACATGCGCTGTACTCGTCCTACTAACCAATGATATTCACAAGAATCACAACTTTGGAGACATGACCTTACGGTCCCATTCTAGTTCCTTACAGGTAAGAAGTATCAAACAAACCACACGACTCCTAGCCCTGTGGTTATGCCCTGATATCTACATGCGGATCATTCAAGGCTCAATGAACAGCCATTTCCATCGGATTTACCACCATTTGAGAATTTTGACTTACTAATTCCCGTTCGCAGTCGACGCGCGGTTGCCAACGATACGCATGGTGCATGAACGCCACTGAATCTGACTGATGCATTGTCCGACCAATGAATTGAACATTGTATGTGGCTTCTTCGCGTCTCCAGGTTTCGTGGCCCATATTTTCGGAAAATAGTCTTACTGAGGTGACATTACTAAAAGTGTCCGATGCAAATCATCTCAAATAGAATGGTCATAACGGTCCGTCACCATCATGCCGCTCATATTATGGAGAAGGTTACAATCGACCCGAGTGCGCAACCTAAGCCTGCCTAGGCCACCTAGGCTCATAACAGACATGGGATGACAGTAACCTTCGGATCGTTTTCTAAGAAAGGCGTCAGCCCTGACGAAATCGGCGTAAGGTCTTCATGGTTCATCCGTTTTCCAGCCAAATTGACAAAAATCATCAAAAAGCCGATGAATCCGGTCCTTCAAGTCCGCAAGGCTCCCTGTCTCCATAGCTCTGGATGCACGAGATTCTTCCGCGAGGTCCTAAGGTGCCTCAGTCGTTCCGGCCCTCCACCTGTAACAGGTAGTTTCTACAATTCTATGGGGCTCGATCACCAAATATTCATAGGTACTCTCCGTGACCTGGTTTGCAGAGTCATACGACATAGGGGCAAAATATACTCTACTCGGAAGGCTTCGGATTTTTCGGAGCTACGAGGACTGGACGAATCAATTTCATCGTGGCCACTACTTACACAAAATGACAGTCAAGATATAGAAAGATCCGCAGAATGGTGTACATGTAAGATATGCGCATGCGCTGTGACGTATTACTTACAAACTGTTCGTCGCACTATTCAACTTTTCGGCCGAAAGTTCCCCCATCGCTATGGCTCATGAACTGCAAGACGGCAATCATATCTTGCCGATGGCTGCCCTCTCCTTTTTTCCCATCCTACTGTTCCCGGAAACGTCATGAGCAAGTCGAAAGGTGGAACATGAACGTTTGAACAACTGGACAACCTATCCCTTATTGGAAATGAACATTGATATTCTACTACGTGGACGAGTTCCGCGAGAATATAATAAAGCGGGGCTCGCCAGGCTACACAGAACAACAGTATTATCCGGTGTTGAAGTGGCCCAACGGGGTGCCTGGCACAATGAATGGGAGTGGCTTTCTTGACCCGTATCGATAGAGATTTCTGTCTCTTCTCGGAGACAAAATATCATATCTATTTTCGACAGCAAGCAAAACATATTCAGATATAGAGAACTGAACTTCGCGTTCGGGTTTCCAGACAGAAATTGCGAGACGTTACAGACGAGATCCCCGGTCTCTCTATTCCCCCTACACCTAGAAACTAAGTTTACTCCTGATGATATCTACTTATTGCGAAGTGAGGGTCATATCGTGGACATTGCGTGATTCAGTCGTATCGCGCCCCGGGTCTAATGAGCAGTCGGGAAGAGGAAAACGGGCCTGACATTGATGCCTCGGTGTCAGTAGTAGGGAACATAGATCCGGTAGAGCGCGGTTAAATGGGGGGGCAGATGGGTTCCACACCGGGATCTAGCCCGGAATGAGCAGCTGACATACTGCAGTCGAATGTTGATGATAGGGTGAACGCGGACCAGAAGAGCGCTCTAAAGTCGCGGTTATTATACACGTTTAGCCGTTGACTTCGGTTCGTTCACTGAGCGTTTTACGAGGTGATAGGTACAAGGGGCCCAGGTGAGGGAGATAAGAGGGATACTAATGGATCGTTGGTAGGGTAGATGGTTACTCGGCAGTCTAAAATGTCACTTGGATGGAGAAAGAAGTTATATGAGGCTTATATAAGTTGACACGGGCTAAGATCCCTAGTCATTAGATCTAGTCAACCTTGAAGTAATTGTAGGAATGAGAATAATGCACTGTTATGCATCCCCGAATCTCATCGCCGTTCACTTAGCAAGTCTGGACATACCAATCACCTTGTACTCGCAGGTTCCTGCTCTGAACATCCAGTACGTATAGTCCAAAATCGCATCATTATTTTGGGGATATAGCTCCGGAACGAATCATCGAATCTGGAAAAAATACGAAGCATCAGATACTACTGGCTAATTTTTCATAATAGTATTCAAGACAGGGCGTAGAAAAGGTCGTCACCAGTTTGTACAAGTGAATAATGATATATCTCTGGCTGTAATCCAAGGTTCGAAAGTGACAATCCGAAGCCTCGAAATGTACGGAATATCTGACCAGATGTCCTTCGGCGGTATCCTCCTCCTCAGGCCGGGCGACCCAACCGACACAATGCCAGAGCCGCACGCAGCATATCGTCGTCCGGCTCAGCACGGCTACGCACGGTGATATTTCCTCCCGGTACCCTGGTACACCTTGGCTCGCTCGTGCTCCAGGCCCTTGGGGATGTGATGGCCTCGTCGGTCGCATCATCCGTCTCGTCCCCATCATCAGCCGTGCTCCTCTCCTTCTCCGCCATCCTGCGGCGCGCGCATGCCCACTCTAATGTATGTCTCCGCGTAAGCTTGCCGAAAGCCACGTACTCCTTCTCTGGCGGGCTGGTAGGAGGAGCCGGTGGTGAAGAGGGCATACTGTCCCATAGGGACGCGTTGCGATCTTGTTTGCGAGACGGAGTGCCGGGCGCATGGTGACGCTCAGAACGTGAAGCAATATGGTCGAGTGATGGACGCGCCGCGAGCTGCGACGCGTAGGGTTTGGATTGGGGCTTAGGCTTCGGCTTTGGAGCAGCGTCAACAACAGTGTCACGGGTCGATGGTATACTACTCAGCGACCCCTTCCGCTCCATCTGGCGCTTGTTTTGGAACCAAATTGTGACGGACTTAAGCTCCCTTGAATTTGATATAAGAACAACGACGGAAGAAAATTTTTTGCCGCACATACATTGCACCTGCTTTTGCTACGCCGTCGCGCTGCTCCCGCGACGGGTGGGACGTTTGATGGAAAAGATTTTCGAGCATCATCAGCTGCACGCTGGTAAAGCGTTTCCGAGTGCGCCGTGAGCGCATCGCATGGGCAATGCTTCCGGCATCGTCCGACTCGACACTGGTCGACGAAGATGTCCGCGAGAGGGTGGGGGATACCAAGGACATGGGGCATAGATGTGGTAGAATGAGAGGAACAGCAGGTGGGGTGATAGGACGTGATGACTTATATAATACATTCCAATTCCAACCCAAACGTCGCGTACGCGTTAGTCACGTGTAAAGTGCCCGTCTACTTCCGAAGACGGTAACTGCCCGATTATGTTAGGGTTAGGGTTTCGCAGGTAGATCATGATCAGTTTTCTGGCTTTGCATAATATTCTCTTCAGTGCCCATAAAGTAGCAGGGATATCCAAGAAGGAGACTTACAACCATTATATTTCATTGGCTATGAGCAAGGCAAATTCAATGAGAAAAGATGGAAATCTGTTCTGAGACTGGGCTTGGGTTCACCTGCAGGTGCATATTATCACCCTGGATTATCATTTACTTTCTAATAGTTCTACAGACATGTTGGAAACATACTTAGAATCAATGAAATTTTATTTAATTTATAATGATATCCAGTTCAACAATAATGACAAACTGTAATTTTTAACCTTGACCTTCAAATGATAGGCATATGATTTTGCTCAGGGCAAGGAAAAAAGGCAGCTACAGCCATGCTTGAGGTTAATTTGTCTCCTGCTTCAGGTACAACTCTGAATAGAGAGTTAATCACACCTAATAGTCAGACTTATCCTGTATGCTCCAAGCAGTGAAAGTAGCCCTCTCATGATTTGGCATGCTTTGGATGTGGTAAATCCAACCAAGACACATACAGAGATAGTATCTGACTTGCAGAGAAAGCTACACAAGAGATTAATTAAGGCTTCTAGAAAATGAATGCCATAAACCCATTTATGTCATAGAGAATAAATAAGAAAAGACAAATTTTTAGCTGGAACACTTCTGATGCTTTGATTATGTCCAATCATGATTTTGTTTGAGCTGGGAGACAAAGGTTTCATATACTTATTGTGCCCTCCAGCTGCTGTACTTGGTGCTGTGTGAGGAGGTGCCACAAGGATAGACCACTTGTATGACAAATATGAGCCACAGTAGCTTGGACTAGATTTCTAGTCACTGAATAGATCAAAGGTGATGAACCTTTACTGTTGGTGTACAATTGTACATTCATAGACCATGAGTATAAACTGCATAACTGGAGAGCTGGCATCTGTTTGTATTTGTCTCATCTTGTACAGTGATTTAGATCTGTGAAGATATACCAGATGATATGACAGAACAAAAAGAAACATTAAAACAATAATTTATTGAATAAGTCTTGTCTATCAGTCTTCTTCCTAAGTTCAGTAATCATTGCATTGTAACATACCCATAGAAAGCAGATGTCAACCAAGTGATTTCCCTAGAATATCAACTGTTTGACTCCAAGAAAGTCATATCAGAACATAACCTCCAACTTTCTAATCCTCTTCAGACCATTCTCCTTAAATGACTTGCTGTATGTGTACACAATGTCTAGCTCAGTTATCTGTTCTGGTAAGTAAAGCCATGTGAATTCAATACTATTGCACCACCAGTTGTGGTAGTTCATCAATATCTGTGAGACATTGGAGAAAATGTGTACAAGTAATAGTATGACATCACAGATATCTTGCTATACTGGATGCACTATGAGATTATATGAATGGATATCAAGTTTAAGGGCAAAGAATAGAGACTAGCAGAATATCAACAGTGACAATGAAGAGTCAACACACTATAAGGCTATAGTGTCTCATTGTAGAATATGGTTAATGATATAGTTAAGGTGGGAAGGTGTGAGAATATGTACATCAGTACAGAACATGCAAGTGAATTCTCAGGAGAATGACTTGCTCATGAGAAGGAATGAGGTTGCCATTATAAGTCATTCAAAGAGTGTGAGAAGAAGGGCCTATGCTTTCTTGATGATCAGACCAAGTATTTCAACAGAACTATATCTGTCATTGTTTAACAGCAATTGTAGAGATGATGTATTCAGCTAAATTGTTTGAAGATTTGTATGATTGAAAGCATTGTAGCTCTTGCATTTTATATCTGATGGTGCTCCACATTTTAGTGATTCAGGTATTAACAATCAAAAAACTGTCTCAGTGATTGACCACAGACTCTTGCCTCTGTTACCAGGTGGATTTCTGAGCCTTTTCAAACACCATACAGTGCTAATGAGATCTACTTTGGGAGTGACTATCAACAAATGTTGTCTTACATCTTTTCTGATATCCTTAGGAAGAAATGATTAGTTCAATAATAGTAGACTATAACATATTAACTCTTCTTTCAGAGATGTTCTGGTTTCAAAGTTCTTATGTCTTAAGAAAGTGATTCTGCAGTATAAAACACTGACTCAGATGACCCCCAGAACACTTGTATGACCAAGCCATGATGACATTATAGTGGCAGTCCAACTGGTTTATAAATACTGATATCAAGTCAAACTTAATTCTGAACATGGAATATTAGAATGTCCTATCTGTTTGTCTATCTGCCAAACTGTTCTCAATCTAATGTCATGTTACTTCTTCTATTACAGTGAGCATATTGCTAGGACAGGATACCATCAAAACTGAGTTGGTAGAGGTGTGCTGTATAATAGCTCATATAAATAAGAGTAGCTATAGGTTTATTTTAAGTGGTTGGTGGTAAAAAACAGTCTGAGAATGAGACAGAGAGACAAAGCCTAAAGACATTACAACTTGAGGAAGTAAAAAAATTGCTTACTTGGCCAAAGTCTGATCAACTGCATTTTAGAGCTGTAATCACATGTCTTCTCTCTGTTTCAAGAGCCAGAAAAGTTAGATCTGAGGGCATCCTGGTCTATGTGCTGTAATCACTGGATATTTGTCCTCAGATGAGGACTGCAGTTAATCATGAACAGAAACTGCAGTTGTAGAATGAATGTTGAGTGACAGAGACAGACAAGCTTTGTCATTTCAAATAGGGAGATCTGTAGGTCATATTTTATAGAGTGGCTCTCATCATAGATGTGCCCTATGCCTGTATAGTGCTTGCTATATAGCTAGTTGATGAACTAAAAATTGTCTGACCACATATATCCTGATCATGTTAGATCTCTATTAAACACTCACAAATATCTAGCACTGCTTCTGCTGAGGTCCAATTCTAGGTTCTGAGTCTAAGTCTGGTTTTGGTATAAAGATATAATGAGGATGACAAGATAGGCAATAAGAATTTTGTGAATAAGGATAAAAGGTTGTGGCTGGTAGATATAGTCTACTATTGTGGCAAGAGTATTCATATCAGGTAGTCAGAGAGTTTAGCAGGTGTATTAAACCTTAGCTCAAGACTGGGATACATCAGTGTATACTACTGCCTTAAATACTATCTAAAGAACCCTGTATCCTATAGATGACTATTGTCTGCTTTCTATGCCCTCTGCTCATTGTCTGGGATAACAATGACTGTGCCCTTGCTTTTATTTGTCATTGTTGCTCTGCTATACCATCACTATAGTGAGTTTTCCATATGCCACAGTTCCTATTATATTCAAGATGTGAGACAGCAATGGTTACTACATTGTTCCTTATCATCTTATTATATATCAATGAATAAGGCATAGCCATGGCGTTATTATATTTTCATTATCTTTTGTAAGGTTGACCTGTGGTCAGGATTGGTAAGCATCAGCAGGTCATGATTTAAGGGCAAAAATCATAACATTACTCTCTCTTTAAGACAATCATCCTCAATTGCTCAGAGCAGCCTAGAGAAAAGAGATCATGCTTCATTCTTGCCATCAATTTCAGTGGAAGCATCATTGGTGCAGTCAAGAAAATGGAGTTGGTTGACAAAGGTTCTGGTGGCTAGGTTATCTTCCTCTTTCTATATAAATAGCTTTTTGCATTCAAAGAGGTGTTGGTCTTTTCTAAAGAGTAATCTTCACATATGGATAGTCAGACTTGTCAAATATTGGTCAACCCAATAAGGCAAAGTTGACAGCTGCCAGAGAATTTTAGCATGCTTGATATTTGGCAATAAGAATCTTTGCATGCAGAAGGTCTTTTTCTGCATACTATCAGTTTTCCTTGTTGCTGTATCTCTTGAAATAGACTAAAAACCACTGTTTCCTGTATTGAATCTTATCATCAAGAATAGCATTGATTTCATATTTGTCTTCATCATCAACTATTATAGATTTAGGTGATGGTGGTTTCTGCTGATTAGAGAATTCAGCTTGTTGGAATGGTTTGAGCAAGGCTTCATTGAAGACTGAATGGATTTTCCAAGTCTTCAGAATAGATAACTTATATACTCCATCATCTACTTTTTTTGTGATCTTAAAGAGCCTTTCATATTTGTTGTCCAACTTTTTCATAGTTCTGTCTATCTTCAGGTTTTTCATGTGTAGCATGATCTGATCTCCTGGTTGATACTCTTTTCTGATGCCCTTTTCTTGTCATATTGTTTCTTTATCAAGTCTGCTGCTTTTAGAAACACTTATTCTCTCTCATCATGAATCTTTTTCATTTTAGCAGCAAAATCTTTTGCTCAGGACACTTGACTGTCCCTTTATGAGGAGTTCATTTCAGTGTTAGAGTGTATGCTAGTGTTTACAAAGAATAGGCTAAAGCCTGTGATAGAGTTTTCTTGATTGTTGTGAGTGAATCCTGCTAAGGAGAGCCATTCTGCCCAGTCATCCTGCTGGTGATTGATGAATATTCATAAATATTTTTCAATCTCTTGATTGACCCTCTCTGTTTGTTCATCCATTTGGGGATGATATACTGTTGATAAATTTCTGATGATTCTGAGTAGCTTGTATAGCTCTCTTATGAACTGTGAGATGAATTGTGGGCCTTGATCTGAGATGATTTTGTCTGGAAGGCCATGGTGAGCATATACATGATTTTGAAAAAGTCATGCCCACCCTTCTGCAGTCAAACTTGTGTTAGTGGCAATAGGAATAAGTTCTTTAGAAAATTGATCCACAATGGTTAGAATGGCATCATGTCCTTTGGACTCAGAGAGAGAGCCTATCATATCTACTGAAATCACCTTCTATTTGTCTAAAGAAATCTCATTAGGATGTAATGGTGTCCACTTCTGGGTGCTGGCTTTAGTTTTTTGGCATATTTTGCACCCTTTGATATAG